AATGATCGTGTATGGATCGCTATACACTCCCTCTCTTCCAAGATATTTTATTGTTCTTCCCTTCTTAAAATCAGTCCAAACTAAAGTAGAATTTTAGAAATCATTGGTCTCATACAATTACACTTTTAGTGGACTGTTAAATCCTTTCCTCTTGTCCCCTGGTTTGAAACTTTTCATTTCGAAAAATAATAACCCATTCGGAAAATACCTCCCCTCACAAATTCAAAATCCTGTCAAAATTGCTTCATGAAAAATTTTGATGACGCAACATGCGCCGTAATACCCCCTTGTAGGCACCCCTGGTGTGAACTAAAGTGGCTTTATTGACTAAGAGAAAATTTGTAAAGGCATGACTTCAAGAATCAAATATCGAATATGGTTTTCAACCATGTAATCTTATATATTATTTCTCAAAAGCATTTTTTTTTTGTACATTTTTTATTAATTTAGAAAATCCCATGATCAACGCTTTGAATTGTTACCTTTCCAGTTTTGAAGAGATGTGCAAGACATTTCACCGGTTCGCTTCAAAGAGATAACTTTGAAGAAGAATTAGCCGGAGAAGAGGACGACTTCTCTAACGATGCCGAGCCACCGGAAGATGAAGATATAGAAGCGGCCACAGCGAAGCTGAAAAACAACAAGGCTCCAGGACTGGATAGAATTCAAGCGGAACTGATAAGCTATGGAGGAGTGCAACTAAGCAAGGAGCTCCATAACCTCATATTGAAGATATGGCAGGAAGAGAAAATGCCTGAGGAGAGGAAAAGAGGAATCATCTACCCACTGCACAAGAAAGGGGACCAATCGGATTGCGACAATTATCGAGGCATAGTGCTCCTCTCATGTGCTTATAAAGTTCTCTCTAACGTACTATTTGGGAAACTAGTTCCTCATGCATAGGGAGATGGACAAATATCAAGCGGGATTTAGGCGATGGAGGTACACATTGGACCAACTGTTCTCACTGAGGTTGATGCTGGAGAAATGCAAAGAGTATAGAACAGTTACCCATCACCTCTTCGTTGATTTTAAAGCCGCTTACGGTAGTGTAACTCGCCCGGAGCTCTATCAGGCCCTGTTGTATATGAACGTCCCAAGTAAACTGATTCTGCTCGTGAAAATGACGATGTCAGGCTCAAAGTGGGAAGTGACTTCTTGGAAGACTTTCATACTAACTGTGGTGTAAGACAGGGAGATGCTCTTGCATGTCTTCTTTTTAACTTCGCTGCAGAGAAAGCAGTGCGTATGTCCGGAATCCAACTCCACGCAACCCTTCTTAACAGTACCGTTCAGCTTCTTGGGTACGCTGACGACTTTGATATTGCCGCCAGATCGGAACGTGCATTAAGAGAGTCGTTCTTGGCCGTAAAAGAGGCAGCAAAGAAACATGGGCTACACATTAATGAAGCTAAGACCAAGTATATGAGGGTCGGATGAGATGGGCCAGGGACCGGTTCTTTTGTGGCTGGAACATATAATTTCGAAAATGCTTTGTTTACCTTGGGTCTGAGATCAAGAAGGATATCAACAGCGAGACGGTGGTACTTTGGCCTTTCGAAGCATTTTGGAAGCGGATTCCGCTCTAACAGGAGCAAGATCACTCTCTACAAAGCCTTGGTCCGCCCTGCTTTAACTTACGGATCAGAAACAAGAAGCAGGATGAAAATAGACTTCTGATCCATGAGAGATCAATCTTGAGAAGGATTTTTGGTCCTGTTAGAGAGGGTGGAATTTGGAGAAGAAGGAAAAAATGCTGGGAGGATTCGGTGACATCGGACGCATGGGCTCTACTGGAGAGCTACTGCAGCTGATCGTATCGACTAGTGAAAGCTATTGGAGGAGGCCCAGTCTAACGAGTATTTAAGAGTTTTTGGTACCTAATTAAATTGAGAAAGTTTGCTTAGTTCCAGATTGAAAATTCCCCAATTCCGAAAATTTACGTAATAAAATAGTTGTAAGTTACGACGAGATGAAGCTATTTACGAAGTTTCAGGCGATTACCAAGAAAAATGGCTGTCCAGAATGGTGCATGGGCAAAAATAATTTAATTGAATTTAATTAACATTCAGATCAATTTTTAGAAATCGCGTCAAATCCTTTTTTTTTCTTTTTAGTGTTATCTTTTTGCCCTAAAAGTACACTTTTATTTAAATTTTAGAAATTTTGTCTATTCGTGTCCCTTTTTTTAGGAATAAATATTTTTTTACCGATATCACACTGCGCTTGCTCTGTGTTGTTAATACTGTTTGACGTTTCTTTGTACGTTGAATTTTCTTATGAATTCTTGTATATATATGTTGTATAACTATCATGATCTAAAGGTTGGCAGGCCAAATGTAAGATGGGAGGACTCAGTGACATCGGACGCACGGGGTCTACTGGGAGTCCGAAACTGGAGAGCTGCTGCAGCTGATCGTATTGACTGGCGAAAGCTTTTGGAGGAGACCCAGTCTCGGTGACGGGATGCAGCGCCATATATGTATGTATGTACCTTTCCAGCCAGGGTCTAAAAGTAGGCCCTAGCAAAGCAATTTGTACAAATATTTTGGTCTATTATATTAAATGGAATATTGTAATTAATTTCTCCCTCACATAATACATAGGATCTATTTATTTCCACACTGTTTGCTATTCCTTCACTAAACAAAATTTTCTTCGAATTATTCACAAGGGCCCAACTAGTTTTCTATTGTTTTTCAAGAGTGGATCCATATTATTATGGCTGGAACAGGTTATGAAAACCTACAGGAAATGTCTCACATCCATTACTGTTGCAATGCATGAGGATTTAAAAGGAAACAAACAAAAAAATAGGAACATTCCAGATTCTGTTCCAAGTGATTAAATAAAATACTTTTATGTGAAGCATGTTATATATTTATCAATCCACGCTTCTTCAAAAGGGATACTATGAGAAAACACTGGCAACAAAATAATAAATATACAAAGGTGCACTAAATATTTAAAGAAGTAATATTTCTTTGAAGCCTACCGACAATCTGTATTCTGTACTGAACTAGGACCAGGTGGGGATAGATCCTTTGCTGTCATTTCTCGCCATAACTTTTCCACTCTACTCTGCAGATTTCGCAAACGGTCGTGGATCTCCCCGATTCTTTCGAGTTCCGGTAAAACCTTACAGAAAAAAAAAAACAAAAGAAGAAAGAAAAAACAAACAAAAGAAAATGGCTTAGATTATGAACTTGACCAATTTTCTTTGTATAAAAATAGAGGGCATGTATGCAGTAGGAAACGAAGTCAACCACGCTCTCGGTCATGTAATTTAGTTTTTACTTTTTCTACTGATTATAAATTTTTCTCGCTTCTCTGACTGAGCTTTTAAAACGTATTCGCGGTTAAACCTCACTTTATTTCGCAATTTCCTGCTTCCACATACTCCAACTGTTTCTTTTCAATTAAAATTAAGATCTTAATTGGCTTTAATACTGTCACTGCTTTCGACTTCAGCTGACCCCACTCGCTCGAAAGGGGTAAACCAAATCCCAAGACAGGGGTCTCCAAACTTGTTTGGCCCGCGGGCCATATTATGAGCTTCACAGGTCACGGCTTGTGATGAAAAAACAAATGTTCTATAAATGCAGTAACCTTCTATATGAGTAATTTATAAATTAAGTAATATTTTTTAAAACAGTTTTTAAAACCATGTAATCAGAAACTTTCGCCATCCGGATTGAAAGGCCGAAATTTGGAGGCCTCTACCCCAATAGATTTTTTAATAGAATAGAAAAATCATCTTTATTCTGGGACTAGGTCTCTTTAGAATAACATTATTGTTCATATAAATTAACCATAAATCTAGCCAAAAGATTTATTACAATGAATAATAACAAAATACTAGTAATAAATTAAGTATAATAGCTCTTAGGATAAATTAACGAGGACAGTTGGGTAATAGGGGTTCAGTACTACAATATTGGAGCTAAAACAATAGCATAATAATCACTGAATGAAATTAGAAAGGAACGCAAAATCAATTTTATAGGCAAAGCATTGTAGTGAGGGATTATAAAAATTTTAAAAAAATAATAATAACTGTTAATATGTAAAGAAAGAAATAGTATAAAAAAAAATTTAAAAAATGATATACAAATGTTCACTAAGATATTTAAGTGATTATGCGCAAAGATTAGGAGAAGAAAAATAAAATAAAGTATATATATGTGTATATATATATATATATATATATATATATATATATATATATAGAGAGAGAGAGAGAGAGAGAGAGAGAGAGAGAGAGAGAGAGAGAGAGAGAGCGATGAGTGTGTTGAAGATAATTAGGAAATAAAATCTCTTGAATAGAAAAATTAGATAGAAATTAAGAAATAAAAATAATGTCTAAAGAAAATTAAAGCTTTATTACATAGTATGTATTTAACCAGAGTCTGATTAGATTGTGAAGAGGAATTGGAATATAAGAGGTTTTTAAAGCTGGATAAGGTAAGCATGATGCATGGAGCATTTTTAGTGGGATGGAATTCAAGAATGCAGTGGAACGGACAACGAAGGAATGTTTAAATGATAGAGATCTGTGGAAATGGGTGTAAAGGTCAGAAGGACGAGATCTTGTGGAGAGGGCGTGGATAGATGATTTGAACTGTAGGAGATTGTATGCGTAGGACGGACGATGACTATTGATTATTTGGAAAAGGAATATGCCTAGGACATATTGTCTTCGGAAGGAAGGGAAGAGCCATCCTAATTCAGCATAGTGGCGCGAAACACGGGAATACCTCAGGGTCCCTGTGACAAATCTTACAAAGGCATTCATAATTCTTTTCAGTCTCAACCCGAGTTCTGAGAAATTCTATTCAACTTAAGTCGAGTTCTTAACGAACGGCTCGTCTACTTTTCGGACACACTCGGTCATACTCAGAATTCCATCTATAGTGTGTTCATGGGGATCTTGGACCACCCATCAAAGTGGAGCAAAATTTGTAAAGTAGTATCCTTATTCTTAATAATGAGGGACTCACCACAGCAGCTGGTTGCTTATGGACGTTCAGCCATTGGTTCTTCCTCAGCGTAATTATCTCTGCCCGTTCTGCTTCTGTCGCCAACATCAGTAACATGAACCTCTTTGCCCTGGAGCTAACGAATGGAGAGTCAGGAAACTGTGGCGGCTTCTTCTTTGCCTGAAATATCGAAAGAATCGATAAATAATTTTTTTTAAAGTAATTTATCGGCTACTAGCCTGCCAAGTAGTTAGCCGAATATTTTCCTCGCTACTTTATATGCTAACAAAATCTAAAGTAACACTCTATGTACACACTACAGTAATATAGGTCCCTTTTTCCACTCTTAGCAGCGATGTATATTGATGAATGAGGTTGTAGCAGATCGCTCCCTGTATTTACTCCTCTATGTGACATTGCATGAGGTAATGAGAAGAAATATATAGGAATGTGAGGTGGCACTGTGAATTGTACTCAATTGTGCAGTGAACAAATTATTCATTGAAAAGTCTCATATCGATGAAGCAGGTACCGAAAGGACGGAGCAGGTAGCAACAGCTGGAGAAGGACGTTGAAGAGAAGAGAAGGCACTCTAGGCCTGGACAGGAAGAAACGAGGTTGTCACAAGAGAGAGGTACTACACTGAAGACTAAGAATATCAACCTACAGTTATAAGACTTTAATAGATTCACTTATTACAGTTGTAAAATAAATTGTTTTGTTAGAAAAGAATGAAAAGTCATTTATTTATTTAGTTGTCCCATAGGCCTCACAATTGAAGAATAACAAACCAGGTGCGTACATTCATTCAAGATGTATTTACTCACGTTGTGTATATATATATATATATATATATATATATATATATATATATATATATATATATATATATATATATATACTTATTGTTTCTTGTCACTCAGTGTCACATAAGTATTAGGTTCCCGGATTCCCAACAATAGTTAAATACCCTCAAAAAGTCTATATCCAGTGCCGGGGTTTTGTTTTAATATTCACGAGTGTTAATAATCTAGTCCCCCAATAAAAGCGGAAGGCTATTCGCTATTTCCCCCAAAAAAGAATATTTAAAATTAACCTTTAACAGGTTATTTACAAGGTATCTAACGAAAGAGAATTTAATGGAATATTGACGAATGGTAACTTCAAAACTTAAAATCGTATTAAAACTATAATAAAGGCACTGAAAAATTAGGAGGTTTAAAAAAAAAGGTTGGATGATTTTTAAAATCGACAGATCGAGATGGGATGTTTTTTAAAGATTGGTGAAGTGGACAAGACCTATTATATATAGTTTCCAAGTAACTTTCAGCTCTTCTTTAAAGATAAATCGTAATTCTATGCGAAAAGCTCTCAGTAGCTATGAATTCTAAGAGATGCTTATCACATGTTTAGGTTTTAAAAATTTAGAGTGCTACTCCCTCCCTCCTCCTCCACATCTGGTCCATCACAGTGGGGACTTTTAGTATGTTTACCTCCTTACTAGTCTCCAAAGAATGTCCCACAGTCAAAAATCCTGTCCTCGCCATTAAATTCTATAATCATTCATTGACTGGACTACATTGTTTTCGAAGAACTAAAAATCTATTGAAAAGGATAATAAGAGCCCTATGATCTCTTGTATAATAACAAACATGTTTCACTGATGTTGCTCACTGTATTCGAAAGTATTAGGAAGAAGCAGAGGTGCCCGAAATGAGGTTTCATAGGTCAAGTTATTATTATTATTAAATGGCACTACATCCCAATTATTTGAGACTTGGCCTGCTCCAGCATGGATCTCCAGTTCTCCCGGTTAGTTGCTGCAGCCTTCCAATTTCTGACACCAAGTAGTCTACATGCATCAGCAGCCACACAGTCTTGCCAGCGCAAACATGGTCTTCCCACTCGTCTGTTTCCAAACACAGGCTCATTCATAGCTCTCTGTGGGGGTGCATTCATATCCATCCGCGCGGCATGTCCCGCCCAGCGTAGTCTTGCCAGTACGATGAATTGGCTCACATCCAGGTCATTAAACAATGTCTTTATTTCTAAATTCGTTCTCCTCCTCCAATTCTGTGGTGTTTCCTGGACCCCTCCAAATATGCGTCGTATAATCCTCCTTTCAAATCTGAGCAGGAATTTCTCAACAGCTTTAGTTAAGGTCCAACTCTCACAGCCATATGTGAGCACTGGTCTAATAAGAGTTTTATATATTCTTGTTTTGGCCTGTCTTGACAATATTCTACTGCGAAGATGTCTCTGGAGGGAGAAATAGCACCGATTAGCCACTGCGATCCTCCTGTCTATCTCACAATCAATGTTATTTTGTGCATTTACAATGAACCAAGATATACAAATTCGTCAACATTCTCGATTCCACGCTGTTCCAGCCATGCTTGGATTTCCCTTGTTAGACGTGAGGATAGGGTGGACATATATTTTGTTTTGGACGTGTTGATAATAAGACCAATTTTGGCTGCCGACTCTTCCAGACTTGTAAAAGCTTCCTGTACTGCCGCAAACGGCATTTTTCCCATTATATCAATGTCGTCCGTACATCAAGTATTTGAGTCATTCGATTTAGGAGGGTTCCTGTAGTCTGGATGCCAGAATCCTTTATGACTTTTTCAAGGGTAAAGTTGAATACCAGACATGCCAGAGCGTTTCCCTGCCTTACACCTGTCGATGTTCTAAACCCCTTTGACAAGTCACCTTGTACACGTACGAAACACTCATTACCCTCCATTGTCATTCTAACAAGCCTTACAAGCTTTTTTGGTACATTCAGTTGTAGGTCAAGTTGCGCCATAAAAATTTTTGAGGAGGGCAAATTTTGACAGAGTTATAAAATTTTCGGACTAATGGACAAGGGTAACACATGGAACATACCGCAGCAAGTTCCATATGTGATCCACGATTTATTTTAATTCTACCTTAGCTTGCTCAGTTTTCGAGAAATGTGAGCAATACAATATCTTGGAAGGAGCGAGGGGGGAGGGAGGTTAGGTTCTTGTGCCATCGACCTCCTGGGGATGGGCAGAAAGGTAGTTGTCCAATCTGAAACTTCTCACTGTGGTGTACTGGTAAAAATAAATTATTAAGCTTGTTATTTCTTCGAGTAAATCTCAACATGTCTCAGGTCTTACACTATTAACTCTCAAGGTTAACATAGCTTATTTTTCTCTCTCTTTAACTATTTATTCGCACCTGTCATGGTATTGACAATCAGCAGATGTGTTGTGATAAATAAGAGTGGACATTATAGGCATGAGGAAGGATAGTACCCAGCAGCACCTCTTCCTGGTCCTTATTTACTTCCTTGATTCAGTTGCAGAGATCTCTCATTCAGCTCCTTCTTAGTCTCCTCGTGATGGGCATGTCAGTAGTGGCCATATCGTTTATATCTTTATTTTGTCCGTGTCAGCCAAGTCTGTGTGTCTGTAGCTTGAGATTTTTCTTTTTTTATTTATTTTTTTTTTATTTTATTTTTTTTTTTGGTCCTCGGCTGTACGGGGTTTTCCCGGGCCAGGGAGTGTAGGCGGGGATTTAAAAGATTCCCTCGGCCCCGGGACGCGAACTCGCGACTATTTTATATCATTTGATTGATATATCAGGTTGCCGGGCAACGGCGGTGCTGTGCACACGCGTTAGTCCATTCGGCTTCCCCGTCCACAAAAAATACTGTGTAGTTTGAGATGAAAACGAGAGTAGAGATTAGAGAGTACGTATGTGTTGGTCTATAGTTGGTTGTCATAAGTCATTATGTAAAGTTTTGTTGTTAAGGAGCTCCTGATATAAGTCGTAAAATTTTGGATTGAAATGACTTTAGTTTTTTTAAGTGTATCTTTTTTGCCGAACCGTAAATTCTCCAGATGTGTTTGATTAGGTAAGTGTATGTATTTAGTTTTTGTTGAACTTTCAATTTCGATTTAGAAAAAAGTGAGTTAGCTTAACATAGCTTGATAGATAAATTATCTGTCACATTAGCAATCTAATCCTATCAGAAATGTACCTTAAATGCTTAACTATCCATACTCCATTTTTACAAAGAGAATGGGATAAGATAAAACACCAGGAGTCCCCAGAAGGGGGTTCTATGGAGCAACAAGAAGAAAAATGGAACAGACCGCAGCAAGTGTATTTGTGTACGATCTACAATTTTTCTAATTCTACTTTTCCTCGCTCTGTTTTTATAAAACATTAAATATCAAGGCATTAAATATCTTTGGAGGGGGAGGAGGATAGGTTCTTGCACCATCGACCTTGGGGGAAGATGGGTACCCCTGTAATATACATTTATAAGTTAAGTAGTCATACTTACAGCTATGAGAGCTTTCATGTTCTGGTGCTTGTAAGGCAAGATCCCGTAGAGCATGGTGAACAGAACCATACCCATGCACCATACGTCCGCGAGGCACGGGTTGTACGGCTTGTTGGCCAGGACTTCTGGAGGAGCGTAGGCGTAGCTGCCGCAGTAGGTCTTGGAGGGCTTGAACCTCCCGCTTGCCAGGGGGTACACGTCTTGCTTAGCGAACCCGAAATCTGTCAGCAGTAGGTTACACTCCCGGTCCAAGAGCAAGTTTTCGCATTTTATATCCCTGAAATCGGAATGGTATCGTAAATAAATAGAAATTTACTAGACACTATTGAACATTTAAAAACCTTAAGGCTCTCAAATAATAAATTTAAGCTCATCAGACAAAAATAAGGTTACATTAAAACAGAGTACAGATAGCACCTGTTTGCTCCTCGAGCAATGTAATTTGTAAGGAATCCTCTTTTTCTTTCCATGATCGATTCTATTCTCCATCTGAAATTATATTGCTCACTCCTTCGCTAAAACGTCCGCCATTTCATTAACGTGTAGTGCACAGTGTCCTGTGATCCAATAGAATACAATCTTCCTCTTCCTCAACTACTGTTTTTTTTTTTTTTTATGAAATCCTGACAGCACGATCTCAAAGATCGCTAGATCTAGAAATTGTATCAGATTTATCAGGAAAACAGTACAAATTTTACATTCGTACATTGTAGCCCATTTCGCAACCACAATCCCTCCTGCAGATCCATCTGAGTGCTTTGATTTGAGCAATTTGTTTCTTATATCTGCCTTTATAGTAGGTTTTCTATGTTGTAATCTGATCGGTATCAGTTTTGCAATACTTTAAAGGGCCAGAGCTCTCTTTGGAAATTTTTGAGTTCTCTGCCATGAAAAATATCTTCTACTTTATCAATGAATGCAGTTTAGGTTTTAAATCTTACTGTAACTATTGAATTAATTGTTCAATAATCGATAGATATTTGATGTAAATTAGTAAGCAACTAACGAAGAGACAAAACATAATTTTAGGTTACATACATACTTAAGTCTCCAAATGCAGGCAAAGAAAAAAAGCATAAATCTGTCAAGGTTTCACCAATAATGGCAACATTAGAACCGAAAAAGAACATCAACCCACGACATTCAATCGCATACTGGAAGGAAGGTAAGGCAACACAGTAAGAGAAGGTTAAATCAAACATCTTATAATAATTATGCAATGTCTAACCAAAAATAATAAATATCTTGTATAAGAAAAAGTAAAAAAAAATAAAATAAAATAAATTTAAAAAAATTAAAAAGTGAAAAGATATAATAACAAGAAAAATAAATAAATAATTATACGTATATAAAAAAGTACATCAAATGGTTATCATAAAAAAACAGCTGAGTTATTCCACCTGAATTAGCGAAACGTTTATGGTTGTTTTTTTTTTTCTTAGCCTCCATTTTGGGAACATAAGTCTGTCTGGTTTGGAATTTTTTAAAATTATTACCTAACATATAGATAGTTATTTAAGTAGTTTGTGGAGATAATATAAATACTAGTCCCTTCAAACAGTTCAAACGCTCAACGGCTCAATGTCATTCTAAATTTTCATGGCTTTAATAGGAGTGGACTTAGGTGTCTCAGTCAAAGTATTTCTTTCTTCGAATTATATCAGATAAAAAAATAAATAAATAAAAACTCTGTTAATGATACACACCTGTGAACGATACCATTCAAGTGACAATATTCTACGACATCAAGAAGTTGACTGTAGAACCTTCTGGCTTGCTGTTCAGGAATGAATTTTTTTCTCTCGATCAGATCGGCAATTGTACCTTTCTCTGCCAGTTCCATGACGATGTACACGCTGAAAAATGCTAATAATGATTAATGACTAAAAATATATATTATATCTTTGTAAAAAAAAAAAATATAATTAATGTAATCTGTAGATTACTTGGGAGAGAATAAATCCTAAATAATACATTTAATTTCTACAATGACAGTGTGTTTTGTGGAAGTGAATCTATATAAAAAAAAATAAAGTTTTGTCTGTATATTGAATAGAATCAACCCGTTTTATGATATCTTTCCGTTTCATACATTGCAGACACCAAATCCAGTTTTAAAAATTTTTTGTTTGTCTGTATGTCCGCATCGCATCAAAATTTTGTCAGGGATAAGGTCGGCAATAGCTTATTGTACACTTTTGAAATTTTGACATTATATTAAGGTTTGCTTGACTTAAAACATAGGCTTTAAATGAAAACAAAATATTGAGTAGAACCAAAGTTATATTCATATATTGAATAGAATCAACCCGTTTCATGATATCTTTTCGTTTAATATTACAGACACCAAATCCACTTTAAAAAAAATTTTTGTCTAACTGGATGTCCATTGTCCAACGAAATTTTGTCAGGGGTAAACTCGGCTAATGGTAGACTTTTGAAATCAAAAATATTATATCTAGGTTATATTATATATTAGGGTTGCTGACTTAAAATATAGGCTTTAAATGAAAACAAAATATTGAGTAGAACGATAGAACCAATTATAACTTCTTGAGTAATTTGTCTAGAGATTCCGCTGGGCAGTTACTTGGATTTGGACCCTCCTCCCCCCATAATACAAAATCCGTCTCAAAAAAAGATTCTCAAATTTTAACTATATACCTGTCAACGACGGGTTCATTAGCTAGTAATAAATGAACTCTGAGTTTTTATCTCAAATATGTTTTATATTCTTAACCCAATATCAAATCTTAGATAGAAAACTTATGTATATGAATGCACTATTGTATTGAAACTAAAATGAGCTATAGGAAAATGCAAAGTGTATTAATGGGAAAATAAATCCATTATACTATGGAATTATTCGCACGGATCAACTACATAGTATAGTAGTATACTATAGTATATTCCATTATTTATTAAATAGAGTCTCACCTGTGCCATGTTTCAATAACTTCGAAAAATCTGATGAGGTTCTTGTGCTTCAGTTTCTGGATGATGGCAAGCTCTCTTGGAAGAAATCTTTCGACGTATTCTGTTGACGCCAGAGGTTTTGCGATGATCTTTATGGCGACGTCTTTCTTCAACCTGAACGATTTAGCTTTCTGAAACGATGGGTTTTAATTAATATTTTTTAAATATACATCTTCTAACTATTGTAACAATTGGCACAGAAATCGGGGGGAGGCGGAAGGAGGGAGGAGAACAATTATTTTACAATAATTGTATTGATTATTTTAATTATCGCTCATAATTTGTATTATGGAGGGAAGGGAGGTGTCTTCGCCCCTTCAACCAGAATGGAAATTCTTCGCCAATGATTGTAACATTTGTGAGAAATGACGATCAAAGGAATCTGTATCAATTAAACAGAAAGATAAAAACAAAAAGGAGATAGGATTGTATATTTTGAGGCCTTTTATTTATTTTTTTAAATCTTCTATCTCATTTGCAACTACGCAAAGTAACACATCTGATAAATTTGATGGAGTGGTTGCCTGGTAGGTCGCACCACATACGCGTATAAATTGTATTAGTTATTAAGGTTAAACGATAGATCGCACCACTTACACATGTAAATCTCATTAGTCACTAAAGTAAATTTAATCAAAATTTATATTTAATCAAAATATTTAAAAAAACATAGGTTAAAGATTTAGTTGTTTCACTGAATTGGCTTATTTTATTCTCGTTTACATATTAAAATGTTTTTTAATAATTTTTAGGCATTGATAAAGGCCGAAACGTTATAAAATAAAATATTTTTATTTTCCTATGTGACTACAACTCCTAACTTCCAAATCACTAAAATGCCTTTGTTTATTTATTTATTTTTTTAGTTGCATATTTTAAAGACCATAAGAATGTAATGATAATTCCATTTCTTAATTATTTAAAAAAAAATAAAATGGTTTTTTTATCTATCTATTATACAGAATAGTGAAAAAAAAATCATTTTATTGGATTTAAGATAGCAACAAAAAAATTAATTTTATAAGAAAATCTTAATTCTCTCTCCCAAATCGTACAGTTCTTAGTACCAACTTTTTAAATACCAAAAGTTGAATTCTTTCCAAAAGCGACCTTTTAAGTTTTCATTCATTTATTAATTAATATTAAAATAAACAATTATTTTCAAAAATAAATAATTAACTCATTTATTTTTTTTAAACATTTTGGTTTTGATATTAAAATTGGAACAAATCAGTATTTTGAAAAAGAAAATTTGACGATAATGATATGAGTTAAGTTTGGAAATAAACGAGTATAATATAACCTTCTGGTTAAACTGTTAATGATAAAGGCTATGATGTTATCAAACTATAAAGTCTCGCCTACTCTGGAAATGAGAAGTTCAATCTATAATTCAAATAGTTGGAATTGACAAAAGGAGATAGATCAAACTTGTATGAAAACTAAAATATACAATTAATACACAATAATTGATAGAGAGAAATATTATACGGATGATGTAATGGGAATAAACAATTCCTCGTACTTCAACGTTTCGGATGATCACATCACATAAAAAAAAAAAAAAAGAAAATTGATCGAAAAATACTCCTGTTGTTTAGGTTATTGTTCTCACAAAGTAGAAAATAACGTTTAATTCGAAAAGCTAATGATGGATTAATAACAATTCACTGATACAACACTTTTTTTTATGGTTGATTAGGAAAGGAGAGTTCAAGTCTTTCATAAGTTGAATAAATTCACTATTATATAATTCCAATCCAGGCAACTGAACATATTTGGAATAATTGTGGAATATTATTTCTCTAATTGATTAAGATATTTACCCAAACTTTTGCGAAGGATCCATGACCAATCTTCTTGATCAACTCGTATCCTGTTTCCTTCAAGACCGAATCGTCGTCGTGAATTGTCCATTGCGGCTGCGTTGCTCTCGACTTCGATTTGGTCTTAACTGACGCGACCAAATGCGTTGTAGACGTCAGGTTTTTTGAGCTTGCCATATCCACTAGTTTCCATTATTCATTCCAACATCCCCGTTCTCATCTTATAATTCTTGAACCCCTCCTGCTGAAACTTCGTAGATCCTAACCTATGTCATTCAAATGGTTGCCATTTGCTTGGCGCCATGGTAACCAAGATCCATTCACAAACGGTAGCTGTTTGCCAGGATATATAAGTGGCTTACACATTTCACGAACGTCATTAAAAGAAACATAAAAACTTATGGAAACGAAAAAAAAATCAACAAATAAGGTTGTTGTGGGGGTATTAGCAAGCATTCAGAGAAATATTTTGGTTTAAAATCATTTTTTTTCAACCAAAAATATAATCAAAACGGTTTAGAAACATTTGGTGCCATGGATCTTATAACTTTTACTTACTACTCTACTTTCAGTAGAAATTAATTTAAAATCTACACTTTATATAATAAGGTAATATACATCTGTTTTCCAGGTCTCAGGAGAATGGATTTTGATGATTAAGGCATCAAACGAAAAGGAATTTCATATAGTAGTGATGAATTTTAATTTCAAAATTTTAAATCTTACTACCAAGCTTGCCAAGAGATTTACTGTATCGAGCTGCTTGTTATCTTATTATTTTTATGCTTTACTTTTTTTGTTGTCCTGTTATTTATTATTGTTTTTATTGTTTACTATTTTATTTGTTTCTTGCTTGTTTTTTTTTTCTTTTTGTTTTGTTGTGTTCTCCATGATATCATATTATATTCCATAATATCATATTTACTCATTACAACCTAGGTAATGAATTAATCATTACATCAATATCATTAAAATCTAAGTAAAATTAAAATAAAATTCATTGAAAAAAATTGGAAGGTTTCAAAGCTCAGATGGTTTAAAAAGTCAACGGATCAAGAAAAGATAAATTTTGTTTTTTTAAAATTTTTATGCAAACATCAAGACTGTGTTTAAAATTACTAAAATGTACCGTTTTGGATATGAACCAGATTTTTCCCCGAAAATCTCTTAGGTGACAAAGGTGTGAGCACTGGAAGGGGGTTCCATCAAAATATTTGAAGGGAAAACATTTTGACAGGGTATTACATTTTTCTGGGGGCCACATTTCTGCGGGGTCATGAATTTTTGGAATGGAATGATTCAAACCGTGGACAAGAGGAAACCTGAGAACAGACCAGAGCAAGTATAATCGAATGTTATTAAGAAGAGAAGAGAAATAAAATATCTTGGAAAGCAGTGGGGGGAGGGTCATGTGCCATCAACCTTGGGGAAGATGGGCACCCCTGTTATGTGATATGGTTGCCATTGAATAGTTATCAAATGATTAATGAAATAAAATTCTTTTGGAAAGGTTAATGGAGGAGAATAGCTATATCCATCCCTTGGGCACAGTCGTGATAAAATATGAAGTTTCACCAATTGTGTGTGTTAAATAGAATATCTTGATAATATTATATTAGTTATAAGAATAAACATATTTCACTGAGATGGCTTAAAATTTGAATGCATTTGGAAGAAGACTAGCTATCTAATGTAAGAGTATGCGGGTACTATATTCTAATATCTCTTATATTTTACAGATAATAATATAATCTCGGAAGATCACTATATACTGTTGGGATACTTCCAAAAGAAATAAGAGTTTGTTAAATAATAAACAAAATTATAAGGGAATTAATATATTAAATAGAAATTTATAATTATTATATCGTAAGATATGGGTTACTGACAGATTGAAAGACTCAGACAGACTAACATTAACTACAATAAACACTGTTTTATTTTAAAATAAAGTCAATTATGAATTAGCAAGCTAAGCTTTTTTCAATCTACAATGTTCTTTCTTTGTGGCACTGAATTCATTTGTCTTCAAAGGCTTTCCAATGTTCTACCAAACACAACTTTCAAAATGGTAATACAATTACAGAGTTTTACTTACTGGAGACAGGATCCCTTCTCCTATCCTCTCCTCCTCCCCCTCCTCAGCCAAACAATAACTTCCAAGATGGTAATACTATTACTGGGTTTTACCCACAGGAGCCAGGATCTCTTCTCCCATCCTCTCCTCAATCCAGCCAACACCAACTCTTTGTCAAAACAAAATTCCTTTGTCCCCTCTCCTCTTTGGGATTTACTTTCCTATGGAAACTACAGAGCAGCCATTTTCTTTTCCCTGAACTAGTAGAACTAGTTTAGCTTGCCTTTCAGCTGTTTAACATTAAGTTATTAAATCCTTTTTACCAACTTCCAATAAAGGTGTACATTAAAATATATAATATAGTATTTTTGGCTCTGAGGAGCATCGGAATTTCATGAATGGTGGGGGGGGGGGCAGTGACAAGAGTCAATTTATAGAACTTAAAACCTTACTACATCAACAATAAAAGTCATTGAAAAAATTGGAAGATGCCAAAACTGAGAAGGTTACAAAAGCTGACAGATTGAGACGGGATAAATTGAGTTTTTAATATTTCAACGTGAACATCAAGACCAAGTTTCAACTGGCCCTGCATTTAAAAGCTGTTAAATGTATGTTTTCAAGGTAAACCATAATTCTTTCCAAAAGCTTTTTAGGTGCTATGGTTGCCATGGGATACTTATCAAATGTAGATTTTAAAATTAAAATGTTTATGATAAACAACCTTCTACAGGTTATTCATATCTTATGTGAGATTATTATCATTATATTTAATCTATATAAGATTATTTTTTATAAAACCCTTATTTAATCTCACAGTCCTTAAAATTTTAAAACATTATTACAATATTTAAAAATCATTATTTTTAAAGTTTGTGCTCCAAGAGCCATTTTCAAAAATTCTTTTTCTTTTTTAAAAAAACAAAACATTAGTCAACATTAAAATAACACTATTACTAAATTTTGTTTTCTTAAAATATATCCGTACATAGAATACTACTCTATGATACTACATGTTTTACTACGTATAAAATACTTTGTTTTTCTTCCAAAAATCCACAAATTTTCTTATTTAATCAAAACCTGTTCCTTAATTTCTTTTCTCTCTATCATCATCATTTTAAGTTCACTGCGCTGTCTAGAATAATCTATAGGATAATCTATTCTAGTCTAGAATACAACACAGTGAAATTAAAATAAGGATAATAGAGAGAAAATAAATTAAGGAGCAAGTTTTGATAAAATAAGAAAAAGAGGAGACAATTTGTGGATTTTTGGAAGAAAAAGGAAAAACAAAAACAAAGTATTTTATATGTAGTAAAACATATACCAGAGAGTAGTATTCTATATACAGATATATTTTAAGAAAAATATAAAACGTTTTTAGTAATAATGTTATTTTAATGTTGACTAATATTTTATTTTTTTAAAAAAGAAAAAGAATTTTTGAAAATGGCTCTTGGAGCTGAAACGTTAAAAGATAATGATTTTTAAATAGTGTAATAATGTTTTAAAATTTTAAGGACTGTGAGATTAAATAAGGATTTTATAGAAAATAATATTATACAGATCAAATACAATAATAATTAAAAAATTATTTATGATAATCTTAATAAAGAAAAATGGGTATGGGTCATTCTTATATTATTTGACCATTTAGCATTTCTGAGTCTAGTTAAAAAAATATATATTATCTCATTTTATATTAATTTATGGACTTAAGGGAGTTGGTCAAACATACTTAAGGAGGTGTAATCAAGAAATGTATAACCTCCTTGATGAACCTGACATTGTGAAGCATAAAAGGATAAGAAGATTGGGGAGGGCTTGGACATGGAGCTTGAACGTCCAATGATGAGATCACCAGAAAAATAATAAGTGAGGCTATTCATAGTACCTGGCGTAGAAGAAGTCATCTTAAATGGATGGAAGGTTTGGCAGAGGATGTCTGTAGGATACTGGAGGTCAGGAACTTAAAAAGTTTTGCACAACAACGTGTAGACTTGCATAAGTTATTAGAGGAGGGCAGGGACCAGTAATAGCCTGTTGAATAAAAGAAGAACATTGATTCCGATAAGTTAAAATAAATCAAAAGTTGAATTTGATTTGGAAAAAGTTTAATTTTTCTCATAAATTGTTAAATATGACTTGGAAATGATACATATAATGATTTTCCAAAAAAAAATAGATTTTTATTATCAGTATTGTGACAAGGGCAAATTAATCCATGTGATTTTATTTTTATATTAAAATAGGTTTCTTCCCTTGAAAATGACCCCAGGGCTGGGGGACTATACTTTGGATGTAGATTAAAAATAAAGTAGGACTATTGTGATCTAATATGTCTTTTTATTATTAGAAATAAATAAATAATATGAATAATTATGTGAAAAAAATATATGTCAAACAATTATTTTTCGATGATAAAATTAATTATGAATTTGTTTAGAAATATTAAAATTTCACTAATATTATTTTTATTAAATGTAAATCTTTAATTAAGGAAATATAAAAAAAGATCTTAATATATAATTTGTATAAAAAAAAGAAATAAAAAAATGTATATTTATTTGAAAATTTTAAATGATTATATAAAATATAAACTGAGTGTTATATAAAACGTTTAATAATGCTGATTATTTTTATTTTATTATATCACTGGCAAACCTTATTTATTTATTAAATTTAAATTATGTATAAATTTAACATAAAGAGACTTTTTTTATTAAATTTAGTTTAATTGCGCTTTTGCAGAATTATGCACCATGTTTGTATGCACCGATTTAAACATTAAATATAGCTTTGCACACTGCATAATTATTTATGTTATCATACGATTTCTTCTGTACTTTAATATTTCTTCTATTCTTGCATTTTTCTGCTATATTACAGCATAATTAAATAAATAATAATTTTTTAAATAGCAATTTAATTTAATTTTTTATCTATCACAAGTTTAATAAGAAACCGTCTCCCTTATCATTAGAGATTATAGTTATGCAATGTGTTGATATATTTCCCTCAAATGGGCAGTTGATAAAATGGCTTGTTTTAATACACTTTCGAGAAACTGTAGGTTACTAGTGAAAAGTTCTAAATGTATATACAGTAATCAAAGATCTTACTCTGTTGATGACACAATATTTGGTTTAAATGATGAGGAAAAACAAGTAAGTGAATTAGTTAATTCTTTAAAATTATCTTGTAGTTAATATTTAATATTTGATTTTTTATTTTATGTTATAATTTTATTCTGTAAAATATATTAATTACAGATTAAAAACATGTTATCCCAAAATGAGAAACTTTTACTTTACAAGTTCCTTATAAATTCCCTATAAATATATAAATGAGAAACTTTATAAGATTCAATAACAATATAATTATGTGATTTTTATTTAGTGATAAAAAATAGCAATTTTTGAAAATTAGTATTGTCATCTTATGGACTTTTAAATAAAGATGAAAATTCTCATAATGAAATTTAGAGTTAGAGGCAAAAATTCAATTACCTCTTTTAAAATCTTTATATTATTTCACAAATTTATGATTATAATTCTGGGAATTCATAAATTAGTGATTTTTTTAAAAATTATGATAAAACTGTTATTATTTAATATTTAATATTATGATTTAAAGAGGAAGTATATAAATTAGATGAGGCTCTTTATTTTAAACTAAACTGTAATTATATAATTATTTTCATTATAAAGAAAAATTCTTATTATAATTCTATAACTTTCAGTTGAGGGAGACTGTTCACAATTTTTGTCAGAAAGAGTTAGCACCATTTGCAGCTCAGATCGACCAAGATGATAATTTTCATAATTTAAGGGTAAGGAATAATAATTCATTCATTTATAATTATTTTTATATCATCGGCATCATATTAAAGTAACAAATGTACAACGTTAAACATGCTCGCATTCAATACTTTGACATAGTGTATGTGTATGATATGATGTGTGTGTGAATTATTTTGACTTTATTTACAAACCTAAGAACTGTGATTGATACCTAACAATAGTAATTTTTTTTATTTCTATTGGCATTGCAGACCATGTAGATCTTTTGCAGGCTTAACAAGCCTGCTCCATCTCTTCCTGTCTTGGGCTATTCCTTTTTATTTATCTGCAACTATTTATGCCTGTCTTTTTCCTTCTATTGAGGCATTCATTGTTACATTGAGACATCCAGTTGTATTGCCACGAGCTACATGTCCCACCTATCTTTACCTCTGTACCTTCATGGGATATTGATTGATAAGTTTCTGTAAGCAGTTCTTTATTGGTCCATCTTCTCCATGTGTTAGTACTGTGATCCCAGATCAGTCCGGTTATTGTGCAGAGAATTTTCCTCTTAAATCTTTCAATACATTTTTCTAGGGTGTTGGTTAGTGTCCAGGTCTCACAGCCATAAATTAGAACTGGGGTTATCATAGCATTTTACACCCTTAATTTGAGATATCTTGAGATTTTTCGGGATTTCAATACTTTTGAAAGAGAGAAGAAAGGTCTGTTTGTGCTAGTTATCCAAGGATTTTATGATTCATTCTGACATGGACCCCTCCATTTTCCTGTGATATTGTTCTTATCACCTTCTCCAGGGCTAAGTTGAACAACATCAGTGATAAGCCTGTTCAAACTTTGAAGGCTTCTGATACATCTCCTTATATTAGGCCTCTTCATTTAGGGTCATTTAATTTAACAATAATCATAAATTGTTAAATTTAGTTGTTTTTGTTCTTAAATCAAAAGTGTGTGAAAGATATTTAATGTAGTATTATTATTCTTTATCTTCATTTCTGAGCCATTGTTGGTTCAGAGGAACCTCCATTTAGCGGAGCCATTCGATCTCATCCTGACATATCCTTTCTAAATGAGAGAATATTTTACTTCTACTTGCTCCTATTCTTTGTACACATTCCTTGCAGAGAGTTTGGATACCTTCTGTTCTCTTTCTAGGTGAGTGGACTTCCGTCCGTGATCTTTTAAGATAGCCTTTCTTCATCCATAAAGCAGACGTCTCCAAACCACTTAGCTTTTAATTTCAGCTGATCCTTTATAATCTTATTATGCATCCCTTCTTCCCTTGTTTTCCAAACCACTCTGCGCAGTCATTTCATTTCTGTTCCCACAACCTCCATTGGAAAAACAGATGTTTAGCGTTATTATTTTCTGACTAATTTGGGTAATGTTTTCATGAATGTTTGTTCAAAAGGATTTCTGGAAAAAGCTGGGAAACCTTGGAGTTCTTGGAATCACTGTGGCACCAACCTATGGAGGAAGTGGGGGCAAATATCTAGATCATGTCATTATTACTGAAGAAATCTCTCGAGCCTCTGCCAGCATAGGCCTTTCTTATGCAGCTCATTCTAACCTTTGCGTTAATCAACTTAATCTGAATGGCAATGAGGAGCAAAAGCAGAAATATCTGCCAAAGGTATTATTACAAAAATTGATATTTTCAAACAATAAATAATAATTCATGATAAAATTGTCAGTGATTTTCGTTTTTAATTTTTACTTTCTCAACACCCTTATATAATGATGTTTCCAAATCATTGTTTCAACAAATTAAGTTAATTTTCATGTTTTAAAGTCTCGCAAACTGTTTCTGATGCTTTTATTTAAAAAAGATCAAGTTAAATTAGAAAATAAATTCGTTATAATTAGTCTAAATTAAAAGTGAGATAATAAAATTGGCCTTTTACAACTTTTTAAAAATAACAGATGTCGGTCTTTGATATGTGGCCACTCAATTATGTATCCAATTAATTACTTAGTTGATATTCCATACAAAATTTAGTGACCAGCAACATCACTTAATTGCATTTACCAGCTATCATAGTGATTACTGTTACAGACAGACACAATTTTTCTGAGGACACACATGATGTCACTTGCACAAAATGATACTCAGAGCACAGAGTTTAGGACTCACTGCTTTTTGATAACATCATGAATAGTACAGGTCTTTCAGTTTTGCTTTAAATTGTAAAATTTGACATGTATTTTTTAAAATCAAGTCTCATAGATTTAAGAACTTATTTTTCCCATTAAAATTGTTAGTCCTGTTTTTCGACACCACTAATTCTCCTGCTCTTCAAAAAAATGACATTATGAGTAAAATGTGCAGTTAGCTCATTTCAATATCATGAAGTTTTATAACATTGTTTAAAAAAAATTGAAAAATCAAAATTCTAGTGTTAGAGCTTTAAAAAAAAAATTGTTTTTATTTTTAAAAGGTATATTTAAAACAATGACCAATGTTGTATTTATTGTAAATAAACATGGGATATCTGGTGTCTAATATTTTTTTATTATTTTCTCTAATCAGCTGTGCTCTGGTGAGCATATTGGTGCTTTAGCAATGTCTGAACCCAATGCAGGATCTGATGTCGTATCTATGAAATTAAAGGCTGAGAAGAAAGGTGACTATTATGTTCTTAATGGTACCAAATTCTGGATTACCAATGGCCCAGACGCTGATGTTCTAATAGTAAGTAGAGATATATCAGCTCTTGTATAATTGTATTTTATATGATAAGTGTTGAAGTACCATCAAAGTGGGTTACTTTGCAGTGTAAGAGATAAAATTGCTCTAATGAATTCAAATGTTTCATGCTGCTGTGTATGACCCACCAGTGGTAGCTTAAGGAGTGAAAGGTCAAATATAGTAAGGAGATATCTTCTGACTGTTGGGTGCAAAGTTCAGTTGGAGAATGAAAGCAGGAAGTAATGTATCTTTCTTTCCCCTTATGTTATTTTCCATTAGAAAACATATCCCAAATTTTCTTTGCTAAGTTGCTTCTTGCTTGAGTTATAAATATGACTATGATTTTGAAGTTGTTCAAATTCTATCTGTTATTAAGAAGCTATAATTAATTTTTGTGATTATTCATAAGAAATACATATTTAATAGAACACTTAAGTATCAGAACAGTGTAAACAAGGATTTTAATTTTTTTTTTTCATTCATACTTACTAAGGGAGCTGAGCTAAAAATTAACTTTTCTGATTACTACAATAAGTAAAAAAAAATTGTACAAAGTAACCCAATTTGACAATAACTATAGTTCTTTATTATTTCTTAACCTTCTTAATATTTTCTGATTCTATATATACATTTGTAATCTAATGTATAAATGTTCAGGTATATGCTAAAACAAACCCCAACTCGGAAAAACCACAACATGGGATTTCAACTTTCATTATCGAAAAAGGAATGGAAGGTTTTAAATGCGCTCAAAAGTTAAACAAAGTTGGGATGCGTGGATCTAATACGGGTGAACTAGTATTTGAAGATGTCAAAGTACCTGGTATGTCATGTTTGTAAATATATCTTAAAAGTATTTTGTTGTAGTAGGATTATTACGAAACAAAATTTTATTTTAGCCAAAAACATGATTGGGAAAGAAAATAAAGGAGTCTATGTCCTCATGTCAGGTTTGGATCTGGAAAGGCTAGTGATCAGCGGCGGCCCTTTAGGGTAATATTTTAAGAAAAACAGTTTTCATAATTTGTTAATTAGTTAAATATATTGGAGGAGACCATTAAGTTTATGTCTCACTTATGGTTCTGGAACCTCATACAGAGGTAGAGGAATGGACTGCTATTAATTTAGATGATGTCTCTACTTCCTGTTGCTAGTGAGTATAGGTCCAATTCGCATGAAGATCCTAGTGCAGACAGTGCTTCTTAATTCTTCCTGCAAGAAGAATTGCCAACAAAAAAAGCATATTTAAAAGAGGGAAGGTTCAATAAGACTTTTGGAGAATCTATGGATGAGAATTGTTGAAAGCTCAAACAAGAAGAAATCTGTGAGGATACTATTGAGGAATGGATTCAAAAATGGATGATAACCCCGAATGGAGTACCCTAAAAAAATTCACCTCCCCTGTTCAAGAGTCCTCTATTCTTGAAAAAACGATCAGCTTTCTCTGGACAAGGTCAAAACCATAAATAAAGCGGTCATAAGACAAAGATGGAGTGCCAAACATCCCTGTAAGATCCCCCTCAAGATCCATATCGTAAACTAAATAGAAAAGAAGAAGTTGCTACATTCATGCTCTAAACTGACTGAAATAGACTAAATCCATACCTGTATAACAAACAGCTGAGCACATCCTTCAGAGTCACATCCTCTTTGAGAAAGTTAGATGGCATACTTGGTTCGAACTAAAATAGCTGGAAACTAAATTCTACTTGACACTGGGAAAGCCTCAGATAAACCATTGACTATATAGTGTGAGAAGGACAAAGAAGAAGACAGATCCTTATGGGGTTTGAGAAGTTTTTTGAGCCATGTTACTTAGCCTTGCACAGAATATAGATCAGTGTAGTGTTTCGGAAGCTTATGAGCATACGGTCATAACTTATTCTGTTCAATAACTCTAAAGGACAAAATCTTTAATAGAAATGTATTCTAAAAGTAACAGGTTTTCAAATTTGCTATTTTCAATCTAATAAAAAAACAATTAGAAGAATGTGTCTGGTGATTTATTCTTCTCTCAATTATATATTATACATGAAGTCCATGAGTCTGATTAAACCATTCTCTCCTTCTCTATAAATCAATAAGATTTCTTCTAAATCAGGCCTTCTATTTGTCGTAAAAATACTTAACAAACATTTTTTTTTCAGTATAATGCAAGCATGTTGCGATGTAGCCTTCGATTATGTTCACAACAGAACTCAGTTCAATCAACCTATTGGAACATTTCAACTGCTACAGGTTAGTGTTATAGCCTAAACAGTTTTAGTTAGGATTTCAGTTTTATAATTTTTTTCTCATTTATAAAGTTTAAAAAGATTAATATTTTGTTCTAGGGAAAAATAGCTGAAATGTATACATCATTAAGTGCATGTAGGAGTTATGTATATAATGTTGCTCGGGCTTGTGATGTTGGGCATAAAAACAGGAAAGACTGTGCTGGAGCTCTGATGTTTTCAGCTGAATCAGCAACCAAGGTAGCCATTGATGCGGTTCAGTGCCTTGGTAAGGAAGAATTGTATTAAAAATATTTTAGAAAAATTAGTTGTAGGGGGAGAGGTGTGGTAAAAAAATTCTATATTTGAGTACATTTTTATGATGTTTCGATCTATGTTGTAGGTCTTCTTCAGGGCTATATAAGATACAAACAATATATATATATTATTTAATTACACATAAACAATACATATTAATTTTAGAAACTTACATTTTATGTAGATGACCATTGACATTCAGTTCAATTTGGAAAGGTAATGGATTATGACCTAATACCTGTATTACCTAATTATCCATTATGTTTCCAAATTAAAATGAATGTCAATGGTCATCTACGTATACTGTAGCGTTCTATAATTAGTATATATAGTTAAATAACTAATATATCTATTGTTTGTATCTTATATAGTCCTGAAGAAGACCTACAATGTTGGAAAATATGTAATAAAATATACTATTATATAATATAATATTTTTTTATAGCAACCCCCGACTAACTTCTTCTAAAGTTAGTATCCAAGGTCTACCATCATGTATTAAAAATATGTTATTATAAATTCCATTACCCATTATAATCATTAAATTGTTAAGTTGTTAAAGAAAAATAATTTTCTTAAGGTCTTAAGTTATTCAAATTAAAAAAAAAAACTTTATTATGATAGAAGTTTTAAAAATATAAGTTCCATAATTCCACAATTACTTTATTTTTATGTTTTGGATTCACATTTTCCTGAATTTAAAATTCAAATTTTTCTGAATCATCATTCATTTTAATTATATCCTATAATCAGTTTTTATTTCTTAAACTATATTATTCAATATTAGAATGTAATAGGAAAATTCTAAATACAAATCTTTGAGTCTCTAAAATTCATGTAAACAAATAATTTGTCCATGTTTTGTCAATTCAGGTATGATTAGGACAAAAAACTAAGATCACGTCGATAGTCTTTTAACAATTCATCAAATAGTAGTGACTGTATATTATTCAAAAAACCTCTGAACATACACTCTACATTCAAATGATTTGGAATACTAATGTTAAATTTTACCTAAGTTAAAATAGGATTTTATGTTGAAAAAAAACTACAAAAAATTTGTAATGAGTTATTATTCAAAATTGTATCTTAACATAACACCATGTTAGGAAGGTGAAAAGGAAAAAATAGTGTCGAAAACCAAGTGATTACAAGTTTAATGGCAGATATGGATTAAAATATCTCAGTAATCAAAAATCGAACCTGCATACTGTAAGCAAGAAAATGGTTCAGCATTTCATCCTCTCTGAAATGGGCTATTATTGCCCATTTACAAAATTGTATCTAAACGCGATACCGCGATTTATAGTTTATATTTCATATTGTAAATCTTTTCTTGTTGATATTTTCACTTCTATCCTGTGGTAGACCGTAGAAAGATAGGTTCTAAAGCACACATTTAAAATTTTTTTTTTTATGTTTGTATTCTTCCAAAGTTTCTTTCATAAGACAAAAATTATTGCTATTATTCAAAGGAATATTCTTTGATTACAGGTGGAAATGGGTATACTAATGACTACCCAACTGGAAGATTCCTCAGAGATGCCAAACTGTATGAAATTGGGGCTGGAACAAGTGAAGTTCGCCGTCTGGTTATTGGTCGAGCAATCAATGAAGAATATTTAAAATAAGTTAACATATTTTATGAATCTCTACATTCTAAAATTCCTATTAAAATTATTTTATTTTTTAAAATATATTACTTTAATGACGTTTCATTCTTCTATTTTTTCTTTTTATATTCATGATTAAATCCCGGAGACAAGCTCCGTTTTCTTACTCCTTCCTTTACAATCCTTGTTGTAACCTTATAGAGAAGTGCAAATAAAGCAGAAATAAATATTTACAATTGCTGCACCACACTTTTTTTTTTTGGTTTGGTTACATTTGGTAAGAAATTACTTATGTTCAGTGACGTTCTTAGGCATTTGGCGCCTCCAGACAAAGACGTCATCTCTCCTCAAAAATTTAATTTATTTCTCAAATTGATTTATATAATGTACTACTTGAATTTTATTTCATTCAATATGTCTCTAATTCAGTTGCTTTACTAATAGGCTAAAATTAATTATTCTCATAAGTTTTATTTTTATTTATTTTAGTTTTATTTTAGTTTTATTCTTAACAAATGACAGGTGTCTCCTTCCAGGTCCCTAAGATCCGGCACTGCATATATTTAATATATTGTTTTGTGCCACAATTTGGACATTGAACAGGTTTTTTTTTTGCATTCAATTTTCTTACTACATCCAATAGTATTTCAGAAACTAAAATCTAAAAAACTTACCACACTCTTCTAAGCAGAAATAAGTATTTTCAGACAAAGGGGAAATAAAAGAAAAATTATTGACACTATATTTATTTACAATTCATTGTGGATATTTTTATTTGTTTAAATACCCATATATATACAAATTGTAATTTTTATATCACTGTATTCTACACAATTAAATATTAAATAATACCAACGTCAGCATTTATGAAAATCTCATATGTATATGAACATAATATTGTCGGAGTCTGTATTATATGAAGCTCATATTACTTATGGAAGCCTATAGTAATCTTTCGGATGATCTTGGGCAAGCTTGTATTCCTTTGATTCCTTTATTACAACTATTATCCGTTATGATCTCATATTTCTCCTTTAGTTAATTATAAAATTCTTTCATATTTTATATTTAAATATTTTTATATCAATGATTAATGTGAAATAGTTAATTATTTAAAATTTAAAAAAAAAGATACTTTAGAGGAAGTCAATATTGAAAATTAGCCATTTAAGTCTTGATAGAGAACATCAATGAGGATAAAACCTACATTATATTAAAAACTGCTAAATAACACACTGATATACTGAATTTAATCAAAATCGTTACAAATTTGTTTGAAAAAAACGTAAAAATGTGCTAAATCGATTATATAAAGTACTATTTCTGGTTTGCCGATTTTGGCGAAAATGTTGCTGTAACATTGAAAGCTTATAAAAATCTTTAATATGCAATTACACTTTCATAGGACTTTTCGTTTTTAAGCTAGACTGATAACATTTGTACACACACACACACATAGACCATTTTGTGGGACTAGGTTATTTGGACTCAGGAAACCTCAAAACATGTATTTCCCTTGAAAACTCAGACTCGAAAATTTTCAAGATCACAGTTATTTTACTTACCTATATATGTAATATATAAAAATGAGCTAAATGTTTTTCCTGCCATTTTTTTATTGATACCTAATTTTGACAATTATTATTAAAAATGATACTATAAAGTAATGAGTCATATCAGGGAACACGGATGAATGATGAAAGTAAATGTTTACTCTCTAGTGTATTGCATCTGAAGAGCATGTAGTGCATAGTCCAGCTTTTATCCTGTCATGGGTAGTAAAAATATTAAATAAATAGTTGTTAAAAATTACAAGAAAAGAAATTTATTTTATTTTATACTAATTATTTTGCTACTAATAATTTCCAATAACATTTGATGCAATGTTGTGACAAGCCTCAAATTATTCTTTATTGAACTGTGGGTCTGTAGATGATAAAGCTGGCTTGAAGGTTGATATTTATACTCATCGTATATACATATACGGCACTACAATTCATTGCTGAATCAGAGCCCTCTCAAAATGTTTCTGCTATTCATCTCCATTCTATGCAACAATAATCCAGTTCATTATTTCAAGCCATCTCGTTTTGGGTTGTCTCACTCTTTTAGCATGATAGAGAGTTTCCATGGATAATTTTTTGACATTTTCATTCTCATCCATGCAAGTGAGGTGTCTCATCCATCAGAGCCTCCTCACATTGACCCATCTAGCAGTATCTGAGGTCTTGAAGAGTGCGTAGATCTCTCGATTTTTTGTTCTCCTCCAGGCATTATCTTCCTTTATCAGACCAAAAGTTCTTCTGAGTAACATTATTTCAAAAACCAACAGTTTATATTCATCGGCCTTATTCCAACCCAAGCTTCAGATCCAAATGCGAGGATCAGATGAATCAGGGCATTGTAAAGCTTCATTTTGGCCTCATTAGTAATATATCTATTTTTAAATAACTTGGCGAGGCCAAGCACTTGCTTTTAGCTGCAATCTGACGTTTACGTCAGATAATAACAACGTCAATATCTGCATTTTCTACTTCTTTTGGCGAATTAATGGTATTTATATTTTCTATTTCTTTTGGTGAATTAATTGTGTTTGTATTTTCAATTTCTTTTGGTGAATTAATTGTGTTTATATTTTCAATTTCTTTTGATGAATCAACAGTACTTATCATTTCTACTTCTTTTGATGAATTAACAATATTTATATTTTCTACTGCAGTATCTGAGGTCTTGAAGAGTGCGTAGATCTCTCAATTTTTTCTTCTCCTCCAGGCATTATCTTCCTTTATCAGACCAAAAGTTCTTCTGAATAACATTATTTCAAAAACCAACAGTATATATTCATTAGGATTACTAATATTTTGAGAAGATTGATTATAATTATCACTGAGAAAATTTATTTTAATAAAATAGTTTTTCTATTATTAATTGTCCTTCAGCTTTGGATATGGTTTATCATGTCTTCATCAAAAAAAATTTTTTTGGAGCAACATTATAATATTTTTTACAGTTCTTCTATATGTTGTGTACACCATATGTAGAGAAGTAGTATTTTGCTAAAATAATTCATTTTCTTCAAAATTGCTATATTCTTTCCTCAAGTTCTTCAAATTAAATTGTGCAATTACTTTGAACTTCTAAGGCGAAGTTCAAAGTAATTATTAATATTGAAGTTAAGAAATTATTAATATGGTGCGAGGATAATAAAAAAAAAACAGAATTTAAATAAATAAGTATATTTTAATCTGAACTCACATTAACGGAAAGATAAAATAAAAGTAAAAGAAAAAAACACTCCCTAAAACAGTCAAAAGAAAATTAAATTCTCATTATATACATTTATTAATGAACACTATGAGTTTTAAAATAAAATTATAGCTACAATTAAATTTAAATTAATCAAACTAAATCATAAGCTGCAGAATAAATTGGTTACTTTTCGAAGGGGAAACTAAGAATTTGTTTCTGAACAACAATGCATCACTCTCTAGGGGATCATAAAAAGGTAAATTTACAGTATTCAATTTTAAAAACCACACAATATAAACCATACATAGTTTACAACATTAAGAGAATTTTTATAAAATTTTCTTGACTAGACAATACACTCTTTTTGATTTCTTAGTAAAAGAATCATAAATAAAAATAAATATCTTAAAACGATTACATTAAATTACATATTTAAATTACATTTTATTTATAATTTAGTAAATAAATTACATTATCATTTGAATTTAAAAAAATTCAAAATGATATAAAACAGTAATATTAAGTTTTGTGGGGATTTCCTTCTTTTTTTTTTTTTTTTCATTAATATCTAATAAACCCCTTCGCTTTGAACCATATGCATGAGCCGTTTGAAAGTGTAGCTTTGTTGAATCTCCTCAGAATGGCCGATTGAGTTCATCTGTTACAAAAAAAATAAAGAAAAAAATTACAAAATATTATTTTAAAATATCAAATCACATTTACATACTCAAATCAGAATTGTAATTAAAACATAAATCTTTATAGTTTATTTCATAAGTTCCTAACTTTTTTACCATTACAATTTATTTTATAAGTTCCTAACTCTTTTACCGTTATTATTTATAAGTTTCTAACTCTGTTACCGTTATTATTTATTTTATAAGTTCCTAACTCTGTTACGTTTATTATTTTTTTCATAACTTTCTAACTTTGTTTATTTTATTTTATATATTCTAACTTTACTTACACTTCTTTATATTCCAAACTTTGTTAACTTTATTTTATATTTCCTTTATTTATATATCATGTATTTTCCATTCCACAAATTTATTAATGTTAAGTTTGTTTTATCTATATTTTATTAAACTATACCTATTACCAACATGTTATTACTTTTACTGTCTACTAGTTTCTCATATTTATGTTATCTTGACTTTTCTCAGCCCTGATAAAGGCCTTGAACCTTGAAATGAAACATCGGCAAAAATAAAAACAAATATAATTTATTTATTTTTACTTTGTTACTTTTTAAATGAACACCCCTACCAACTTCTCTTCAATATATCCAGGACAGTCAATTATTAATCCACTTTACAATTTTTATAAATATGCTTTCTCTAGCATTGTTTTTAAGAAGAAGAGATCAATCAAATTTATTATTCTCTTAAAAAATTTCAATTTTTTTTTCAGTTAAATATTGCTATAAAATCACTGACTACATTTAGAACACTAGAATTTAAATTAATGGGTATAAATAGCGATTATTTTATGTTGATTGTGCATTGCACCTGAAATGCTATATTATGCCTAATAGGTTTTAAATAAATCCATTAAGAGATAATTACAAAAAAAAAAAAAAAAATAGTTCTCATCTAATAAAATAAAAATATTTGTATCTTTTTGTAGTAAAGTTATTTATTTTTTTTTATATATGCCTTGGAGTAGACTGTATTCTGAACCCCCTCCCTCCTTTAGGAATACCTGAAATGAGGTATCATTATGAGATGTGGGTGTACCCAGTTAAATAAGTACAGAACGGTTGATGTCCCCTGCTTAAATTTAAGCTAAATAAATCCTAATTATATTTAAAGCTAAACATTGAATAATAATAAATTGTAAACAATTATTTCGTATTACTTACATGTCCCTGTGGACCTGGTACAGGGTGCGGCGCAGATCTTGGCTGTTAACAATTCAATAATAATATTTAGAACAAGTTTTATAATAACATTATCTCATTTATTAAATTTTAATAATTTACTTACGGAAGCTGACGTGGCAGGTGGTGTCTTCTGCTTAAATAAAGAAAGTTACAATATTAAAATAATTTAAAAATAACAATTTTCTTAATATTAAACAATTATTGAGTCTTTTTTATTAAACAAAACATAAATGATGAAAATTACAAAATTCACTACTTTAAAATGTGAATAAGTCCACTTAACCCGGGAAAGGTAGCGCTGATAAAGGGCCTTAGTAGTATTTAGGTAGGCAGATGAGGTAACCTTATTTCACTTTTAATGAAGGTAAATGACAATTTTAGGGAAATATTTTTTTTATTTATTTATACAATCTGTAGATTTTAAATTTATTTTAAAAAATTCATAAAATTGTCCATATTGGTCTCTTCACTGCTCTTTTCATAAATAATCCTCTTTACATTAAATATTGTTTCATAAATTTATTTCCAATTATTTTCTACAGTTAATGTGCATTATTAATATTTACACATACGAGATGGGGTTATTTAATAACAAGACTGATGCTGTGAAACATTTTATTTTGATTTTATATATATTTACTTATTATCAGATACAGCATATACATCCCTCCTCTATGCAGTGCTCTATGCAAATCTGTCAATTGTCTGAAATGTCTTGTTTTGTAAGCTCCTTTAGGATGAGTGCCGCTTTCTCTTTCACAGCTTAAATGGACTCAAATCTTGTTTTTAATGCAGATTGATAAATTGAGTTTTTTTTTATGATCCCAAAACAAACCACCAATCCATCCATTGAAAGAGCCCAACTTCACCGAAAGCCAAAAAAGCTCGAATGAGCAAATCTAAATTCAAGGCATTCTTATTGTTAATATGATGATTGTTTTTTTGTTTTGTGATATTAATGGAATTTTACATCTTTACTAAGTTCCTGAAGATCAAACTATTTATCAACATTCACATTCTTGCTGAAATAGTCCAGGAGTTGATAGAAGAAGACTTTCTGCACTGTTTCAAACAATGGAAGATTCATATGGACCATTGTTGGAATAGAAGAGGGGTATATATTAAAGTTGATAATATGCAAATATACCAATCAAAACAGCACCAGTTTGATTATTTAATATCCTCATCATGTGTTTTTAGCTAAAAATATCTAAAACACAAGAAGACTCAAATAAAAAAAAATATATTCCAATTCCTCCTCACAATCCAATCAGACGCAGGTTAAATATGTATTATGTAACAAGGATAATTTCTTTTTTATTTCTCTCTTCATACACCATTATTTCATTTTATTTTTGTTTATTACTTATAAATTGGAAAGATTCAGTATAACTTATGGCACAGCACTGCTTAAAAAAAAGAGACTGTTTGTTGTTTTATCCATCTACAAGATAGTGTATAGTTTAGACATATTTCATCTCTTATATTCCTCAATTTGTATACATATATATGTATACAATCTTGTGTATACTATCTTAAACGCTGTTTTTTTTTTTTTTATAGTTTACAATACCATTGCGTATTGTATAACATGTATAAATAATTTATTTTCTTTTAATCAGTTTTTTTTTTGTTGCTATTGTTTTCAAATAAAATTAATTTAATGCCCCTTCCTAATTGTATTTATCTATTTATTCTTATTTTTATGCCGACATAATGCAATATTGTGATTCCGTTGCTCTTCTTCTGTCAGTAATATATCTTTAATCTATGTATATATTGTGTATATTTTAGCTATTTGGGTTTTAACATAACAAGTCAATACTTCTTAATTACGTACTTTTGATATTTTTTCTTTTCTTGAGATTTTGCTTTTTATTTCTATACATGTAATTTTTTTTTTCTTTCCTTTTCTTTTTGTTATTTTTTCCAGTACAATTATAAGTATAGTTGAGATTTTATTTTATTTTTTAGTCGCTTATTTAAGTTGTATATATTTTTTGAATCTTTATTAAGTTAGTTTTTGGCCAGATATGAATTTTTCTTTTGTAACTGTTCATTATTGTTATTCTAGTTAAGGGGACATCGTCCAACAATAAAGTGTATTTCCTATTTCTATAATGCATTCTCAGCCTTCAAGAAATACAAAAATTTTGCTAGATAAGTCGGCACTTTAATTAATATAATGCCCCTTCCTAATTGTATTTATCTATTTATTCTTATTTTTATGCCGAGATAATGCAATATTTGATTTTGTTGCTCATCTTCTGTCATTAATATATCTTTAATCTATGTATATATTGTGTATGTTTTAGCTATTTGGGTTTTAACATAACAAGTCAATACTTTTTACTTACTTACTTTTGATATTTTTTCTTTTCTTGAGATTTTGCTTTTTCTTTCTATACATGTAATTCTTTTTTTTTTCTCTCTCTTCTTTTCTTTTTGTTGTTTTTTCCAGTACAATTATAAGTATAGTTGAGATTTTATTTTATTTTTTAGTCGCTTATTTAAGTTGTATATATTTTTTGAATCTTTATTAAGTTGTTTTTGGCCAGATATGTATTTTTTTTTTTGTAACTGTTCATTATTGTTATTCTAAGGGGATATTGTCCTAGAATAAAGTGTATTTTCTATTTCTATAATGCATTCTCAGCCTTCAAAAAATACAAAAGTTTTGCTAGATAAGTCAGCACTTCATCTCACAAACAATGTTTCTTTGAAAAATAAAAACAAAATAATGAACTTCTATGGAGCTGTTGCCGTTGCTCCTCTGAGATTTGGTGAGGTACTAAATGACGAAAGAACTCCCAAAAATATAGCTAGAAGTTAGGGGTTCTCGGTAACTGACGTAAGAGGTTTTTTAAATATTTATTGAGATAATGAAGGCTACCTTTTCCAGGTTAATAAGTTAGAAAGTTTAAAAAATTGTAAAATTTACCTTGACAGGTGAGAAGACCTTATGGGTTACTGGTGTCGTAACTTCTTGAATGTGATCACCAAGTTCTTGGTCCTGGAGTGCTTTGTAAGTCTCAGACTTTGCTGGGTCGTAAACTACCGTCTTCTTATAGCTACATTATTAAATAAATTAGTCCTATCACAAAGATTAACCTAATCAAAACAAACCACGATGTACTGCTGGCCTTCTCTCGTTCTAATTAGAGCCAGTTTATAATATAAATTGTAGATTTTAAAATCTTAGAAAAAAATAGCACATATAAAAAAATTAGTGAAAAATTACCTAAAAAATAATAGATTATTTGATTAATTAGGTGTGTTTAATAATTTATTTTCAAAAATAAGCAATATAAAAGTATCAATCTAGTTATTTTGAAATAATCTGCTTCACAAAATCAATAAGGTATACACTATCTTTCACAGATAGATAATTAGTGAGTTTGTTTTTAATTAGTATTTTTGTATGATTTATGCTTTATAGGTTAACTCAGCAGTAAAATGAGTAATTGACATTATTCGCAAGATTAAATACAGTTAAAGTAAACTCTATGATGATTTGTGATTTTTAATCAATAATTTATTACGTTTTTTTAAATTTTAAATGCCAGTATTTTAATTTAAATTTTATACAATCATTAGAATATTTTTAATGATGTAACTTTTTTAAAATTTATTTATTGTGATGTTTCAGATAATATTTTCCCATGTTCAAATATTATAACACACACAGTTTAAATTATTCATCGTATTTTGCATATATTTGTATATAATTTACTTGTAATTATAATTCATAATAATTTCCATGAAATCATTATTCTGTATTGCAGAATGATGTATTAATGAAAACTAAATTCATTCTTGAAAAATACACCTTACTTTTAAAAATGTAAATAGTTTCATTTGTTTAATACAATCATTATTTTATTTGCATAAATGCTGTAAAATTATTGCCTTTTCTAATATTTTTATATTTAAAAAAATGTGAAAAATGTGAATGAGCAGCGATTTAATGGAAATTATTATAAATGATAATTACAAGTAAATTATATACAATTATATGCAAAATACAATGAGTAATTTTACTGTTTATAATCATAATGTTTGAAAAAATTAATGGAGATTATTATAAATTATAATTATAAGTAAATTATATTAAAATATAAGAAAAATACAATGAGTAATTTAATTGTGCATAAATCATAATATTTGAAAATGAAAATGATAAAAAAATGGAATAAGTTCCCCTAAATGTTACAATAAGTAAATAAATGGTTGAAATATGAAGATTTATCATTAAAAATATACCAATAAACAATACTTTCTTTAAAATAGTAAATAATATAGATAAATGATAATTTTTAAATAAACTATGAATTAAACCAACACAATCAATTAATTATAATATTTTTCTATTTTTTTAAAATGAAAAATGAGAGTAAAGAAAGATATTTATTTTTTAATAATCGGTCATTTTGAAACAAACTGGATATTTTTAGATATATTTTTTAATAAGGTTGTTTTATGATTCATAAATTGTTCTATTTTCCAACCATTGCTAGTTTTCCTAAGAACTTTATTTTTTACTATTTTATTGCCAATTGATATATTGTGAAAAATTTTTGATACATAGAATTTATGATTCATGGCTGATTTCCGTGAAAAAAAAATAATGTTTTGGGATTAACAATATGTAGTAATTTAGTATTTGCCTAATCACAACTAAAAACTAATAATTAATCTTAAAAGATAATTTACAGATACTGAACAATATTAGTGTGAAAGTATTATTTTAATTGACATAATTAATACAATATATAAACAAAAATAAGCGTATTATGATTACTCATGCAATTCATACATTTATTGCAGTTTAAATTAATGTATTATGATATAATTATAACATGCCTAAAGCTGGTTTTTGTTTTAGTAAATTTGATAAAATTTCTTATTCTTATAGTACAATTAAACATTTATATGCATTTAATAGATATATACATTTTATTTTCTATTAGATATTTAAGGCTTGTGTACTGGTTGAAATATAAAAAGTGAATGAACAAGAAAGTATTAATTAACTAAATGTCCTCAATCTAAAGATTTTAAAGTGTTTTTTTTTTTTTTTAAGTGACATCAACAACGATTAAGTAGTCACTCCCTGAAGTTTTAACTCTCCAGCTAAAGGAAAAATCAACTAAATATAAATTTTTGGCTGCCTCATTTGTCATTAATATGACAGATTTTGTTATACCAGTTTTAACAATACTAGTTGGCACGTCCGAATAAATTGCATAGTATATTGGTCAGTGAATTATTGACAATATAATAACAAAATAAGTTAATGCAATATATTATGAGATGGAGGATTTTATTATTATTTTTTTTTTTCTCGGTTGAATTACATTTGTTCATATACTGTATCTTTGCTTATAATGGTCTGATTTTGATGATTTTTTTGTTTAATAAGGAATTTAGCAATGTTATAAATAATTATGGGCCTAATGCAGAAAAAATCTATAATTTTTGATTTATTTACTAATAAAATTTCCTTTATATCATATATTTTTTTTACTGAAATTTCAGGAAGGTGTGACTATGATCCGTCACTTCTCCATGAAATTCCCTTTTGTTTGATACTTTATTCATCAAAACCAATCGCTCCTAAGAGCTGGAAAAGAGATCTACACTGCAAAATACTACCATATTACATATAAAGATAGATATTGGTCAGGATTATTTTTCTATAATTTTATTAGATACAAGAAATCATTCATAAAGAGATTAATAGAATATATTTTTTGAGAGTTTTTTGATAAGAAGATGCTAATATTATGAGAAATATTATAATATCATGACAAATATTATATTATCATGAGAAATATGGTTTCTAACTCCATTTTTATTATAATCAGGAGTGAGAATATATTGCAGAATATTCTTTGTCTCAGCTATTATTCTCTAAATGTCCTTTTTACAGTTAGTATAGAAAAGGTTGATATTTCACGAAGGCTAAGTAAATTTATTATTTTATCATGAATGTCTAAACCAGAGAAACAACAAAAAATCTGTATTTAATTCAATGTATTTATTAATAATAGATATCATACTTCATTTATTAATTATTGTTAGGTTTTTATTGATTTAGGCACTATCTAACGTTGTTTGATTGTTTGCAAACCGTTAATTATGACGATATGATTGTAAATAGTAAGAGTCTTTCTTTCTTTTTTATCTCCATATCCATTTTATTTATAGCCTTATTCATAAAAAGGTAAAGATGATTTCTAAAAATCTTATAATTTTTTTCTTTCATAAGCTTGGTAATGTGCCATGATATAAACTTTAAGTTTTGTCTGATAGAACTTTTTACTGTAATTGATGTGCCATTTGATTAGCTAGTGTTTAGAGAAAGTAATTTACAAAAGTAATAAAATTATGAATTTAAAATAAAAAAAGTTATAAAAATTAAAACAAACTTGGGCCTTGTAAAATTAATCATAACCTATATATTATTAAATATATAAAATATTATTTTCAGATAGAATCTAAATTTATTTTTAGCTTTCCAGTCTGTTACATTTTGCCTAAGTTGCTGCTTACAGTAGGTAACAAACTGATAGATAAATGACAGTTCATATCTCGTTGTATCTTCAATAGTTTTAACAGTTTCAATAGTTTTAATAGTTTTTGTAAGATATAGCATTTTATTAAATTACTTACAAGATACATAACATAACCTACTCTGAAACTACAGATGATATTGTAATAATAATCAACTTCAAATTAAAATTAATTATTATTCATAAAGAGGAATAACCTCAATGAATAACCAATGGGCAGAAAGAAACCAGCGTATAACTAGCGCAAACAGAGCTTTCTTCTCCCTTTCAAAGGCATCGAAATCCCGAAAAATCTCAATAAATCTCAAATTAAGGGTATACAATGCTATGATAATGTCAGTTCTAATATATGGCTGTGAGACCTGAACAGTGACCAACACCCTAGAAAAACGTGTTGAAATATTTGAGAGAAATATCCTCTGCACGATAACCGGAGCGGTCTTGTATCAGAGTACTCATGGAGAAGGAAGACCAATAAAAGAACTGCTTACAGAAACTGGTCAATCAATATCCCATAATACAATATGAAGCCACAGAGATTTAGATGGGTGGAGCATATAGTTGGGAGCAGACTATCTGGAAAGACCATGTGGAAGGCCAAAATGCAGATGGATAGATATAATCAACAAAGATGCAACAGAGCTGCATGCAGATAAATTGAAAGAAATAGCCCAAGACAGGCAAAGATGGAGCAGGCTTATTAAGGCGGCAAAAGATCTACATGATCTGTAATGCCAACAGAAAAGAAAAAAACACCCTTCTATATTTATTGCCAATTGGTTGGGAAAAGGTTTTATATTTTATTTTAGTTATGTATAAATGTTTTTAATTTTAAAAAAGTAAAAATATTTTGTGTGTCCACTCACACGACTTCCCTAAAATGATAGATAAATTTATGACTTTAAATATGCCTAAAAAAAAAATTTTAAATAGATTAATTTTTCTGTAAACCGATCAAACAAATAATTCAAGTACGATTTCTTTATTGAACTAAAACAATATTGACGAGCACATGAACCATCATTTAAATCAGCATTAAAAATTCTCTATACCTTAACATTGCTAAAACTGGTCCGATTTAAAATGATCATTATTTTATTTTGTTAGAAATTTCATAACCTTCCCAAAAAAATGGCTGAAAATAGAATACGCTTTATCAAAAAGAAGATACAAAATATGTCCACTAATTTCCGAGATAATCTTGGAATAAACAGTAAAATAGCAAAAAATGTTTTTTTCGGACTCAGGGAGCTCTGAATCTTAAAGATTTGTTGAAAACCAGACATTGGAAATTTGACCCAGTCTACATAATTTCCTTACATAGTAGCAGTAGGAAAGTAAACAAAAATATATGATAAATAATTATATTTGTGCCACAATGCCCATTATATATTAATATATTCTTTACCTTAACATTTCATAATTATTTACATTATTCTAATTTCATAAAATAATATTTTTTATTTAATTAATTTCACAGTAAAAGTTATTCAATTGCAACATTAGAAAAAATATTTTTCAGATTTAGGCTATTTCACAGTATATTTTTAGATTTTTGTAAAATAACTTTACTGTTTTCCAAAGCATAAAAACCCAACATCTGGATATAATAAAGTCTGTATAATAGGTTAAAAGATGTTTGATGATAAAAATAGTTTATATCTATGTGATAAAAAATTATTAAAACATGAAATACTTGGTAGGTAGCCAATACTTTATTTTGGCAGCTGGAATTACAAAACAGAAAGATATTTTTACGATGCAATACTTAAAAATAATGAAAAGCAAATGTATATTTTAAATAAACATTTTTTAATAAATACATATTTAATTATAGTGATAAAATTTTATGGATTCAATAATTCATAAATAATGAATTGTTTCTACAAATAAAACCCAGTAAATCAATCGTTTTATGTAATTCTTATGAATGAAACAAATAAATTAAAATTAATAATTTTTACTCTGATTTTATGTTTTTTCTTATATAAATAATAATAAAAAAGAAATTTAGAAGGGTAATATTTTTTTTTTTTTTTTGGTCCTCCCCTTCCTTTTCTTTAAGGGGATATTCCCGGGCCAGGGAGTGAGGGTGGGGATTTATAAGACTCCCCTGGCACCTCAAAGCAAACTCATGATTACGCGAAGCAAACTCATGATTATTTTTGTCTAGTTATCTCATGTATCAGGTTGCTGGGCAATGGCCGTGCTGTGCACACAGGTTAGCCCATTCGGCCACCCCGCCCCCAAATTTTTATATATTTCAGTTGTTATAAAAATTCCTATTTAAGTATTTGAGGTGTGTGTGTGAGTAAGTGAGGTGTGAAAAACAAAAATCAACTTTTTTTCTACCTAAAAGAATATCCCCATGTAAGGTAAATATGTTAATAATAGAGAGTTTTCAGCTCATTGATAAATAATAACCTTTATAAAACCTATAAATAGTGCAAATATGAGTCGATTTGAAGCTGGAACACTTAAGAGGGTGATGCCTAAGTCTCAATATAATGTCACAATAGCCATTTGACAAATGATAAATATAAAGTCATAAATGAAAAATTTAAGTCATAAATTATAAATTGATAAAAGACATATTTAAGATCACAACAATAATTTTTCTTGCATTACTGGACAACACATTCAATTTAAGTCAAGCTGACAAGACTTTGTCATATTAAAATATTAAAATTAGACGCTACAATTACAGGATTCTTTGCTAAAAATAACACAGAATCTATATAATTAATTTATTATAATTAATGACATAGCATGAGGCAATGTTTAATAAATATATGCATATTAAAATATATATGAGTAAGAAAGTGATTAAGTTATCTTGATTGACATAGGCATGCTCAGCGTTCAGTGCCATTCTGTAGCGATTACTGTATTAATGAAAGCTTTGAATCTTATCGATTTTAAGTTGGCATGCTTCAGGCATTGCGAGGTTATCGGCCAGTCAGGGTCGCCTGGGTTCTGTCTTGTACTTGCCTAAGCCTTGGGTTCGGTCGCATCAGAACTGGAGATGGTGTTCCCCTTCATAATGGAAAAAATTAGAAATCAAACAATTAAAAAAAGAAAAAAAAACATTAAACCTGATATTAATAAGCATTTTTAATAAAGTAAGCTTTATAAATTAGTGTCTGCTGCACTCGAAAATCAAATCTTAATGATTTAAGTAACAAATTTTTTCAAATTTTGAACACTTACGGTACACCTGCTCCTGTTTGTTGGTTAATAGAATCAACAATGTTCTGCTCGGAATAGAGGCCGATCGGAGAGTTGAACTGTTTGCTTATCACCTGAAACAGAACAATTCTTTTTCTTTTTAAAGTATACTCATGAAAGATTAGTTCACTTTATTAGGAAGTGACAAAAAACAAAACAAAAAGCTTCACAAGAAAAAAAAATTACATGACTTGCACAAGACAAATAATACTAGTTTACAAAGCTACTGCCCTTGGAATAAATAGTATCTTTCATGACATAATAAATTTATAAGTGGTATAAATAAAATAAAAATCTTGAGAAAAATATTGAATGTCTGTCGATGCTGATCATTCTTTCATTCTTTGTAAAAATCTTGAATAACTTGTATGTTATTAAACTAGCCAGATATTTATCTCTGTATGCACCATAATTGTCTAAGAATTATTTGAAGGTTAAATTTTGTTTTATTTAATCAAAGTAAAAAATGTTCATAGTAAATATTTTATAACTATTATTTTAATAATGAGATAACAGTCAACACAGATAAAACCATTTATCTCAAAATTATTGTGATTTCTTCTTAAAGTTCTCCAATGTAAACAATTATAATCAAAAATTTCTTTGAAAGTCTAAATAAAAACTATTTATAGTTATTTATTCGAAAACTGCACAAAAAGTCAAAGAAGTCAACATTGTTTTTGAATATTACAAAATATTTGTTCACATTCACTAATTTTATTTCATTAAAAGAAAAGCAATATCTTTTTTTTTAATATATTTTAAAAAAATATAAATTATCAGTTTTTACTAATTATTTCTGTCAATACAAGTCATATCAAAATGATTTTTGGTTCTAAAAAAACTGGCATTCTTTTTTGTGTCATGTACCCATGATGAATAAGGTACTAACAGAAAACAATAACAATTTTTTTGTGGGACTATCTATAATTTCAAATTATAAGATAAATTTATTTTCTAAACAAATCTGTAAAATTTATGAAAATAGACTTAGCTGGTTTGTAATTGAATGTATCATATAAATTGGTGGTTAATAAGATATGAAAAATAATATATTTTAAAAACAACTATATTGTATGATAAACAATAAAAATATGACATTTCACACAATTACTAAGATCTGAAACTAAAAAAACTTAAAAAAAAAATTAAATGTTTTAAGAACCATTTAAAGTCAAATTTCAATTCGATTTGAAGTTTAGTTTTCTATTTTTTTTTTTTTTAAATCATTATAAAAACATGACTTCTCGCATTAATTGTTAAATGATCATGCCCAAACACGCTTTAATAGTTAACAGTAATCTCTTTTATTCAGTGCATTGATAGAAGTTCAGAGAAACCGAGCTAAGCAAATTAAATTTGATTGAAATTTAAGTATTTTATATTAAAATGATTAAAAAAGGAATAAAAAGATTTTTGTAAGTAATCATTTTAGTTACAAACAAAATTTCTTTCAAAAGCAAAAAAATAAAAGTCACTTTGTAAACTAATATTGTCACATACATAGTTTAGATTGGCGAAATTAGATAAATTAAAAGTATAAGAACATTTATTATCGTTAAAATATATAAAATTCTTATAGCTATCTGACTTGATGGTAAAAAAGTTAACTTATTTTTTGTATAACAGCTTGTTTTTTATATTCATAACATCACAGGTAACATTGTGAGAGTTCATAAGACTTCATGCAACCATAGTTTCCACAATTCAAATTCCATGCCTTGTAAGAGTGTTTCTATGGTAGTGATAATATAATTGATTTCAATATTTTTATCAAAGAAAAAGAAAAGAACAGATGATAATAATAATGTGTTTCATTATTATTTTTGAATAATGATAAAATAAAAATTATTTCCTATGATATTCTTAGCCATATAATATTTCATGTCTTGGTTATATTAAAAAATCGTTATCTGTAAGTAAAAAATTCAAAAAATGTCTGAACATTAGATTTACAATTTTTCTTCTTTATATTTCTTTGTTGGTAAGTTTTAGGCTATACTAATTAGATTGGCAAAAATAACTTCTTTTATGACTTTTATGGGAGCGGAGTAGGCCTGTGGGTAAGGCACTGACTTCCAAGCTTAAGATCCCAGATTCAAATCCGTCTGATGATAGGTAATTTTTTATTAATCATAGATGGATCCTTTGATTGGAAGATCCTCCTGGGCTATACTCAGCCTCTAAGAAGTTGGTACTCCTAATTAAATAATTAATTAAAGACTGTTAAGTGTGATTCTGGCCTGATCATCTCTGTGTACAACCAATGAATTGAAATGACTTGAAACTGTATTTACAAAGTACTGAAACCAAAACACTTCATGGGTTGGAGTGGTACAGATTTTTTTGTGACAAATATTTACTTCATTTATTGCCTATCAAGAATTTTTTCTTTCTTCTGTGTAATTTAAGGGTTAATTATAAACACATTGTATAATTAACAATTTAGATATAGATGAGTGTGACAAAAGTTAATGTGGTTCTGATAATGGGAGTAATGTATAAATAATGGGAGTAAACGAATAAAGTAAATATATAAGCCACAAAGGAAGTTATACTAGCCAACCTCATTAGAATTACTATTGTTTTTTTGTCATAAAACTTTTTCATTGTAAACATCAAACAATGTGATGTGTTGAGTAGTAAAGCAAGTTTAATTTCATACTTTGAAGCTGATTGACATCAATAAAAATCTTTTCGTTCAATGAAAAGTGATCCTCTTCTGTTTTATTTATTAAAAAAAAAACTTTTTTTTTGTAGTAGCATGTTATCATTTCATTGATTTTAGGAAAAACATTCTTGGCATGCATTGTGGAATTTATTTCAAAAAGACAACTAAAACCTGTTTGCCGGGCCCAGCTTCTTCGACTACTTTCTGCAACACAGTGTCGGCAACCTGAGTACATCAATAGATCAACATTAATTCATTTTTAAGTTTACTGTTCAGAAGCAGTTGAGAGCACTGTTGCAATTTACCAAATCACAACTTAACTTTTCTATACATCAGATATCCTAATATCCATAAAATTGGTAGAGATTAAAAAAATATATATCAATATAAAATCTTTATATTAATTTAATTATTAGTCAAAATTTCAATATTAATTTGTAAAACCGGAAAAATATATCGATATTTTGAAAAGTGTTGAAGTGTAAATATCAAAAAGTACATCCTTATTGTATGAATACAAAAATTGATATTTTCGGTTCTTGATATTTTTAATCTTGAAAGAAGAGAAACAGGATTAACAATGAATTGAAGTATTAGATTTTAATAGCAACAATTAAATATTTATATATTGCTTTTCACAAAAAAGTGTCAGGTAATTAAAATTCTTCAATAAAAAAAAACAAAAACTAATTTCTTGAAACTGTAAATCAAAAACCAGAAATAGAAAAAATCAATTAAATAGCTTTAACAAAAACAAAAAAATTAAAAAGGATGTAAGTAAATAAATATTAACATTTTTATTAAATTGATTGGAGACCAAAGGTCCCCAAATGAAATCAGTTTTTATTATATTTTTTGTCATTGTCAATGTTTTGGCTGCTTGAGCCATTTTCAAGTATATGTAAAAAATATTATGATTAGTCATTTATCCTTAAAATAATTTAATTACAACACATCAATTTATTACTTTCTGTATATGCATTGCTCTAATTCTATATCATAATTAAATTGTAATTTAGTAAATAATGTAATAAATTTAAATTATATTGGTTTACATAAATGCAATTACCTATTAATTAAACATTTTTCTATATAATGGTGCATCATAGGTAATTGCATTTATGTGAACCCAAATAATCTAAATTTATTATATTATATTATAAACTATAATATTATGATGATATAGGATTAGGACAATGTATATATAGAGAAATTTGGAATTAGAAATATTTTAAGGATAGATAACTAATTGAAATATTTTTACAGATATTTGAAAATGGATCAAGAAGCTAAAACATCAGCAATAAAAGAAATACAACAAGAATATATTTTATTGATCACTTTTGGCCTATAATCAGTCAAGTAATAGAGCATTAAACATAAAAAATATGACTAGAAAAATAAATATTAAATGAATTAACAAACATCTATAAAAATATTAACATTTGTTAGTAAAAATACTTAATATTTATTTACTACTCATTACTAAGAAATTGAGAAAAATTAATTAATGACTGAATGTGTAAAAAATAATTATGTTTTCATTATAAACACGGAAAGAAAAAAAATGACTTATTAATATCATTAAAAATATATTAATTAAATAAATTTTTCTTAATTATTATGAAATAAGTGGTAAAATAATTTCGTTTTTATGTGATAACCAGTGAAACAGCTTTGCTTGCAAACATTTAAAATTTTTTAAAACTTATGGAAAAAATATCGGTTTTCAGTAGTTAAATTATAGCATTAACATTAATCACCTCCTTGCATAATTCTTGACGAAGAAACATAACTGTTTAAATTTTTTGTTGGTATTGTAAAGTAATATCAAAATTTCATCACAGGTATTTATGATACGATTTTTTTAACCAATATATATTTATAATTTATGAAAAGTTAATCAACAATAATTAACAAATTGCAGGATACATTTTCCATTCCAAAGTACATTAACAAACAAAAAATTCTTTATCAATATTGAAAATTGTAGCTTTATAAGGTTGTGGTAACTTGGCCATTTTCGAAAAATTCTTTATATACATTATTACCACCTGTATAATTTTTTGGAAAAAACATCTGTCAATGGCCTTTCACAAAAAATTTTCTTTTTGTCAGCCAAGATTTTTGTTGGTGTTCATTTTTTTCTTTCTAAAAATAATAAAGGAAAAAAAATTGTCTAAATAAGAGAATATTGACAAATGAACCTTTTATTTGAGAGAATGACTAATTCTACTTACAACACTTTTGATTATTAATTTTAGTGATATTCCTAATGGGAAAATTCTTTTATTCACTGTTCTATATTTCAACATTGCAGTCACCTACTCTGGAATCAACTTACTGTCTATACAGATATTATAAATTTTTCAAATTGAAATATCACTAAAACAATTGTACTTAAAAACATTAAAATTTGAGTTAGTCATCCTGTCAGCTGAAAGGTTTGAATAGTTTAACAAAACTTTTGGCAGGGGGTAATAATACATATAAAGAAATGTTTGAAAATGCCCATGTGTATGATGCTGTATAACTAAACAAAAATTTATTAATATTCGGTTGAAAAATGGGTCCAAAAATTTGTTAATTAACCTTACATAAATTACCATTATTGCATTATATGTTTATATATATATATATATATATATATATATATATATATATATATATATATATATATATATATATATATATATATATATATATATATATATATATATATATATATATATATAATTAACTGATTTAAAGGTGAAAAAAAAAATATTTATGTATCAATTCTGTTTGGCTCTTAAAATTAGTGGGCAGGTTGTTATATGAAAAAAAAAAAAAAAATTACAAGTAAGTCTTCAGATCATGATTTTGACATTAGATCACATTTTAGTTTTCATTTCTCCATTTTCTAATAAATTTAATTAAATAAAAGTTTATAGATCTTATAATTTATGTCGCTAACTTTTTAACCTATGACAAGATATCTTTTCGGGTCAAGAGAATATTTTCAACACATTTAAAATAAAAAAATGGTTTGTAAATATGCCAACAAACATGCTCGCATACTGATATTATTAGAACATCAGCGAGGCTTGTCTTCCCACACTGAATGTCTATTTCGAGGTTCGACTTCAGTATTTATATAGTTCGTTATATAAAGTAGGCTCCATATAATATATATTATATGAGTCACTAAATTCCAAAGGAAATCCTAATAATGTTTCGTAAATCGATACCAGTATCAATTCTCATGTAAAAAAAAAACAATGTAACTGCTAGTGTAATTATCTCTTTTTCAAAAACGAACCTAATTACAAAAAAAGTGGTGTGAAAACAAGTTTATTTCTAAAACCAGTCTTTTTTTTTTTTCAAGGAACAAAAACAAACTTATCTTTCCTAAGTATTCTCAAAAAAAAAAAATCGGTAAAAGCTTTTTAGCCATTTTATACAAATGAAAATTTAAAATAAATAAATTTCATTGTAGTAGCATTGTAAGTAAAAAATCCATTATTTTAAGATATTTTTTCTCCCTCTGTTATACACCATCTATACTTTTTAAGTCAAATTGCAATCAACATTTTTTTTTTTTTCAAAAAACGGGACTTGAGGATTAATTATTTTTAAAAATGACCCAATCCAAGTTTCAATGTTTTTTTTTTTTATTAATATTGAAATTATCAGTGATTCTTTAAAAATATGCTAAAATAAATAATTTCTTAACTTTTTTTTTAAAACATTGGTTTTAATATTATGATTGGAATATAAAATATAGTTATTCATGTTTCTTGAAAATTCATGTTTCTTGAAAATGATCATGATCATCATGATCATCAGGGTTCACTTTTTAAATAAATTACTCATATCGTCAAAATCATGTTGAAGCAATGAATGAGCAATGTAACAGCTCATATTCGTTACTTTAAAAGAAAATTAGTGAGTTTACAATTTGTCTATGGTTGCTAATGGTGAATTGTTTGCCGGATATTTCCCTTTTATTTTTATGGGAATATAAGGAGACAAAGACATTCCAAAAAAATTTTTAATAATATCCTTGACAATATTTATACGGATATCCTCTTGTTTACTGTTTATTTTTCAAGTGATTCTGACAAGCCAACCTCCCTGTATCTCATAGATGTTTGATACAGTTATAATTTGTTATAATAAACAAAATGTTTTAAATGCTAGGAACTAATCTTCAGTGATATAAGAGATGAGCAATGAGGGTCTCTTTCAAAAATATATTGTTGTTCTTAAACACTGAATTTAATTTAAGATGGCAAAGTTTTTTTTTTAAATTGTAAATAAATTATCTTCATTATCTCTCAAAGTTGCATATGATTAAACTGAAATAATAGGTGATTTGATCATGGTTACAATGTTACGTCAGATTCTAAAAACATAAATAATTTTCAGAACTATACCTTCTGCTTCATGGCAATGTCATGGGGCAAAAGAGGATGAGGAGGCGCCTGTCTGAACTTTGGGTTTGGATGATGTCGCAGATAGCTCTCTGTGGGCCCGAAGTCTTTCTTCACTTTGGCTCCTGGCAGTACGAGTGGAGTCGTCCTGTAGGGCTGCAACAAGAAAAAAAAAGTCCCGATTAATTTTACATGTTTCATCTATGTCTTTTTTTATTATCAGTTTCTATGGAAAACATGAAAGGAATAAGTGACTATTAGACTTATTAATCACATAGAATCTAAGATGTGTAAGTGTCCTAAAGAGTACTAGAGGTCACAATATAAATTTTTTGACACTCATATAAAGCCTCACTCATTCTCCTTACACTGTGTGTGACCCGTCAGCCTAATCAAAGCAATTAAATAGCTCCCTGAAAATTTGTTCCAGGGAATATTTGCTTTGAAGATAGAAATTATATAAGATGTTTCTAAGAAAAATATAAAGCTTGATTATTATCTAAAAATATTCTCTTAATGTTTTTCTTTAATAATAATAAATAATAAAAGGTTTAGAGAATTCGAAGGTTCGATGCCGACACTACCAATCGCTTTTTACACCCCTCTCGCCACAGATCGCCGTCCAAAAGCAGTCCCGCCAGGCCAGCCTTAATGCTATCCGCCCATCTTCGCTTTAGTATACTCCTCAGACGTTTACCAGTCGGCATAGAGCATACTAACCTTATAGGAATTCTTTTGATACAAATTGTAAGCAGAACAATTTTACACGCTCTTTTATTCGCCTCAAAGTAATTACCTCAATTATATTAACCGAATACAGTTCACGCAATTCGGCATTGTGTAACCGTTTAAATTCTTCGTTGGCTCACCCTTCTTCTGTCCGAATATTTACGTAATACTTTATTTTCAAAAACTTTAAGGCGTTGCTTGTTTCGGCATCCATTAACAACTATAGGTAGGATATTTTTTTTCTATTGTTTTTAAATTCGGGGGTATTCTTCCAATAGGTGCTTCTCTGTTAAAGATGCATATAATATTTGTTACAGGTGGATATTTCGAGACCTCCAAAATATAAAAATAGAATAATAATGTAAAGTAATTTATAAAAATTTTGGTTTAAAACATTTCTTTTTTATGATCACAGTTTCGTAGAAGGTTTGTCTTTAATATCCTCTATTAAATTTCTTTTGATTGTATCTCAGTTACATTTTAAGGCCTTTCTAATCAATTCTTTCTATTCTACTTATTTTTATATTATTTTATTATAGTATTTGTTTGAAGTGAAGACTTCTTTAAGCCCGTTTTGCACTTTTTTTGTGAAGAGTGAATTAGATTGAGCCGTTAGATCTCCTATTTGCAACGCTCAGGTAAAGTCGGTTAGAGTCGACTAATTGAAGTGTTTTTGCATATGGATTAAAATATCATAAAAACTAAAAATTGAAACTGAATATTGTTAGCAAGAGAGATGTTCATCATTTCCTCCTCTTTGTAATGGGCTATTATTAAAAACTGTATCTTAATACGACGCCGTATTAAGGTAAAAGGGAACAAATTGTGTTGAAAACTAAACGTTAACGATTTTCGTTGAAGAAATGGATTAAAATACTTCAGAAATTAAAAACTGCACCCAGAGGTCTCCAGAAGGGTGTTTCATGACGCAAGTTTCGCCATCAAAATTTTTGAGGGGGTATATTTTGACGGATTTTCGAATTATCGAGGGAGGCAAATTTCGAAGGCGTTATGAATTTTTGGACTAAGAGACAATGGGAAAATATGGATTAGGCCGCAGGAAGTGCAATTGTAAATTATCTACGATTTTTCTAATTCTACCTTCGGTTGCTCTGTTTGTTTAGAAAAGGTAAGCAATAATATATCTTGGGAGGGGAAAGGGCAGGTTTTTGCTCAATCGACCTTTTCTCGGGGAAGATGGGCACCCCTGACAGAACCTGCTCACTGCAAGTGAGGGAATTATTCACCATTTCATCCTCTCTGTAATGGGCTATGATTCAAAACTGGATCTTAACGCGTCGCAGTGTTAGAGAGGCGAAAAGGAAAAAAATAATGTCGAAAATTATGACGAGTTTTATGGAAGATATGGATTTAAATATCTCAGAAACTAAATATCGGACTTGCTTTTATAGTCCGTGGTACAGACCCCTTTTTATCGAATTATTAACATCCGCCAGAAAATTCGTAAATAGTTTCATCTCATCGTTACCTACAACTATTATATTAACGAAAACTCTTGGAATTGAGTCATTTTCAATCTGGAGGGGGAACAAACTTTGTATATTTAATTAGGTACTAAAAATTCGTAAATACCCATTTGCTTTCTACCTGGATCGTAAGATAATTTGATCATAAAAGCGGTAAAAAAAGTGGCCTACAGAAATATTGGGCCGTTTGTCCTATATAACCCCATTATTTTGAAAATTTGGGGGTGTAGGTGACGCCAAACGGATCAATATATTTGAAGGCCACCTTTGTTCTCGATTTTGCTATCGAATTATCTTACGATCGAAGTAGAAAGCAAATGTGTATTTACTCATAGACAAAGTTTGCCCTCTCCAGATTGAAAATTCCTCAATTCCAAGAGTTTTCGTAAACAAAATAGTTGTAGGCACTGGCGGATCCAGGATTTAATTTTGTGGGGGGGGGGCTTCAGCCCGAAAGATTTTTTTTCCTTAAAAATAACGATAATTACTTTGGAAAAAAAGAAAGAAACTAACTACCTGTATGAAATGGTGTTTAAGTGATTCCTAAAGACCTTTTAGTATTAATCACACTAACAATAATACTTTAAGAGATACTTTTTAATATTTTGTTTCGATAAAACATGGTTATATTTTACCATTTTGGGGAGGGGCTTCAGCCCGAAAGCCCCCCCGTAGATCCGCCCGTGGTTGTAGGTTACGATGAGATGAAACTATTTGAGAAGTTTCAGGCAGATGTTAATAATTCGATAAAAAGGGGTCTGTACCACGGACTATTACTGTAATCGAGTAAAATGCTATAATCAGCAATTCATCCTCTTTATGATGAGCTATTATCTATAATTTATATTTCTGATTATTAATCTTACTTTGTAGATGTTTTCACTTATATCTTCTGGACTAAAGCACACACGATAGTTTTTGTTGTTTTTTGAAACGGGATAAATACTCGCTTCTGCGTCACATATACAAAAATTAGAACGAAAGATGAATGAATTTTTAAATTATGTTTCATTTCATTGGTCGATTACAATTACATAGAGAAATGCAATTGATTCCTCCATCGTAAGGTACGCTGTATTAATTGGTTAGGATAAAAAATTTAGTATAATTTAAAAATATTTATAAAAATTCAAAATTTTTTTTAAGGTGCGCACCGCTCTGGATCCGCGACTTCAGATCCCCCCCCTCACTGGTTTTAGTTTAGCGAGTATTACTTTAAAACCTGAGCCAGTTGGCAGGAAGCCATAAGATTTTCACCACGAATGAATGTTGCAATATCCTTTTACCGATAATTTTAGACATTTTATAGATTGTTTACATTCTAATTTTTCTTCTAAAAATATATAACAATAACACAAGTATAGACGGGATAAGGAACAGTAATATCGAATGTTACCTTCTGTTTACGTTAAACAAAATTTTTACACAAGGAGATGCATCCTGTTTGTATTATTCTCAAAACTTCTTCTTTTATAGAATATGTTTTTTTCTAACGCTGCCAATTCGATATCAATAGAATACTTATCTAAAAATGTTCGCGTATCTACTTAGCAATAGTTTTGAATCCAGCAATAGAACAGAAACCCATTTGAGTCGATATATTACAAATGAGTTATTTATTTCGTTTAAAACGGATTTCTTTAGAAATGATTGATAAATGCAGTTAAAAAAAAATTCTCTTTATATATTTCGAATAAAAAATCACCGAGTAGAAATTTTATGGTTATTTCATCGTGAAAATTTCTTATAATGAATTTAAAAACTAAAAACTCATTTAGTTGGTCATCGGCAGAGATGTTCACTGGCAGATCTACGAGGTGGGGGGGGAGGGGAGGATTTTCGGGCTGAAGCCCTCCATAAGATTATATTTTTTGTTTTTATCATTGGCCATATTTTTAATCTTGTGTGACCAATAGCTAAATACTTAAACAATTTCTCTTTTTTTTTTTATTGAATATTAATATAGTCTGCGACATTAAAGGGTATTAATATTAAGGCTACATGAATCATTCACACAATATGTACATACAAATAATAACTAAGATTTCGATAATAAAGAAAAAGAAATATAGAAAAATAAAATAAGTGAATACTTAAACAATAACAACATATTCTATTTTTTTCAATTATAATATATATATAGCCAGGCACGGGCGGATCTACGGGGGGGAGAGCGGGGGGGCTTTCGGGCTGAAGCCTCCCCCAAAATGGAAAAATATAACCATGTTTTATGGGAAATTTTTTTTTTAAAAATACCTCTTAAAGTATTATTGTTAATCTAATTACATCTAAAATCACTCAAGGAATCACTTAAACACCATTTCACATAGGTAGTTAGTTTCTTTCTGTTTTTCCAAAGTAATTATCGTTATTTTTATGAAAAAAAAAAAGGTTTCGGGCTGAACTCCCCCCCAAAATTAAATTCTGGATCCGCTAGTGTAGCCAGGGACGCCTACCCCCCCCCTTTCTCCAAGGTCGATGGCGCAAGAACCTACCTGTCTCCCTCCTCCCAAGATATTTTATTACTCACCTTTTCTTAAAATCAGGGGAAGCTAAATTATAATTGAAAAGTAGAAGTAGAAACATCGTAGATCGTATACAATTACACTTACTGTGGTCTGTTCTACGTTTCCTCCTTGTCCCTTAGTCCAAAAATTCATAATCCCATCGAAATTTGTCTCCCTCAAAAATTCAAAACCCATTAAAAATACGCTCCTCTCATAAATTTTGATAGCGCAACTTACGCCATGTATTGTTGGGGTATTTACATTTTTAATAAGACTCCATGAATCAATTAAACACCGCTTCTTTCCATTTTCTGCACGCAGCTCTATTGGCACCTTCCAGATGGTATTTTGCCTTCTATTGAAGCATCCATTGTTACGTAGAGGCTACCAGATGGATTGCTACTGGCTACATGCCCTGCCAATCTTAATCTCC